TACATTGGAAAATTCTGGCTCCTTCTCAGTCTCCAATTAGCCACCCCTGAACTAGATTAAGCAGTTTTTCTCACCCCACTGGATATTGCAGTCTTTAACATATAGGTTTGTTCCTTAAACCTGGGCCAGTCTCTTGTGTTGTCTTCTCAGTGTCTTGGTTGCTTGCAGTAGAGGTGGGGGAAGGAGAAGGGCCTTGTATGTGTCCAGTCTGTCTGTTTTATGCTGTCAGTCCACGTCCTTGTAGAACACAAGTCCAGGCATGTCTGTGGGGCATTGCTGAGTCTCTCCCAGCAAGGCTGAGCAATTCGCCTGATGGGGCTTCTTGCAGGTGAGTCATTGCACTGTAGCTCCCTTGCTGGACAATAGCTATTGATGGACTGTGTCATAAATATAAAGGGAAGGGTAAACCCCTTTAAAATCCCTCCTGGCCAGAGGAAAAATCCTCTCACCTGTAAAGGGTTAAGAAGCTAAAGGTAACCTCGCTGGCACCTGACCAAAATGACCAATGAGGAGACAAGATACTTTGAAAAGCTGGGAGGAGGGAGAGAAACAAAGGGTCTGTGTCTGTCTGTATGCTGCTTTTGCCGGGGATAGACCAGGAATGGAGTCTTAGAACTTTTAGTAAGTAATCTAGCTAGGTATGTGTTAGATTATGATTTCTTTAAATGGCTGAGAAAAGAACTGTGATGAATAGAATGATTATTCCTGTCTGTGTGTCTTTTTTGTAACTTAAGGTTTTGCCTAGAGGGATTCTCTATGTTTTGAATCTAATTACCCTGTAAGGTATCTACCATCCTGATTTTAGAGGTGATTTCTTTACTTCTATTAAAAGTCTTCTTGTAAGAAAACTGAATGCTTTTTCATTGTTCTCAGATCCAAGGGTTTGGGTCTGTGGTCACCTATGCAAATTGGTAAGGATTTTTACCAAACCTTCCCCAGGAAGTGGGGTGCAAGGGTTGGGAGGATTTTGGGGGGAAAGACGTGTCCAAACTACGTTTCCCAGTAAACCCAGTTAGAGTTTGGTGGTGGCAGTGGAGATCCAGGGACAAAGGATAAAATTAATTTGTACCTTGGGGAAGTTTTAACCTAAGCTGGTGAAAGTAAGCTTAGGAGGTTTTCATGCAGGTCCCCACATCTGTACCCTAGAGTTCAGAGTGGGGGAGGAACCTTGACAGGCTGTTTCACACCTCACCTGGACATTGGTCACTTTCCTTAATGTTGCCTCTGGGGAGCTAATATCTTGCTGATTCCCCCAACTTACAGCATGTTTTGTTAACAACCATACTACACAATTCTCAACTTCATATGCGTTAATGATACACATACATGGATAGAGAAATGACTTTCAGCAAATCATAACCTTTCCCCTGATACATATAAAGCATGCCTTGTAAGATAAGATCACAATTATATGAAAATGAGGAATATGGAGTTACAGCATGCTCCCTCAAGGTATAGGTATTGAGCTCAGTGGTTTGAGCATTGGCCTGCTAAACCCAGGGTTGTGAGTTCAATCCTTGAGGGGGCCATTTAGGGATCTGGGGCAAAAATTGGGGATTGGTCCCGCTTTGAGCAGGGGGTTGGACTAGATGACCTCCTGAGGTCCCTTCCAACTCTGATATTCTATGATACTGCAAGAGGGTTAGTCACTGACTACTTTGAAGGCAGTTTGTTGTTATGGTTCTCTTAGCATCCAGCTATTAAGGCCATGAGGCAGTGTGCCTCAGTTTCTCCATTCACACTCAGCAAACCAGTTTTTTTATGGTTCCTCTGCTGTGATAAGCTTTAAATCTGTTTACATGTATTAATTGAGAACTAGCGTTACCATAACATTTAACATCTGTGTCAAAATTCTTATCCCCAAAACTTAACATTAATATCAAAATTTTATCTTAGGGCTTGGCTACACTTGCAAGTTACAGCATATTAAAGGAGCCTGGGCGCAATAGTTCATTACCTATCCACACTGACAAGACACCTAGAGCACTCTGTCTCGGCGGCTACAGTGCCGCTGGTATTCCACCTCAGCGAGTGGAATAACGTTTGCTGCGCCACCGCTGAAGCGGCGCGACGCCAGTGTGGACGCCCTGGTCTCTTGTTGTGCTGTGATCTGCCTCCAGAACTGTCCCACAATGCCTGTTCTAGCCACTCTGGTCATCACTTTGAACTCTACTGCCTTGCCCTCAGGTGACCAACCATCAGACCCGCCCTTTAAATACTCTGGGAATTTTGAAAATCCCCTTCCTGTTTGCTCAGCCAGGTGTGGAGTGCTCTCAGCAAATCTTTCCAGGTGACCATGCCTCCATGCGCCAGGCGATCCCCAGTATGGAGCAGTGGCAAGGTGCTAGACTTCATCAGTGTTTGTGGGGAGGAAGCTGTCCAGTCCCAGCTGCGCTCCAGCCATAGGAATTACAATACCTTTGAGCAGCTATCAAGGGATGTGATGGAAAGGGGCCATGACTGGGATGCACTGCAGTGCAGGGTTAAAGTGAAGGAGCTGTGGAATGCCTACCGGAAAGCCCGCAAGGCAAACCGCCGCTCTGGTGCTGCCCCTGCGACCTGCCATTTCTACAAAGAACTGGATGCGATACTTGGGGCCGACCCCACCTCCAATCTGAGTACCACTGTCAAGGTTCCTTCCCCACCCTGAACTCTAGGGTACAGATGTGGGGACCTGCATGAAAACCCCCTAAGCTTATTTTTACCAGCTTAGGTTAAAACTTCCCCAAGGTACAAACTATTTTACCTTTTGCCCTTGGACTTTATTGCTGCCACCACCAAGCGTCTAACAAATATATAACAGGAAAAGAGCCTGCTTGGAAACGTCTTTCCCCCCAAAATCCTCCCCAAACCCAACACCCCCTTTCCTGGTGAAGGCTTGATAAAAATCCTCACCCATTTGCATAGGTGAACACAGACCCAAACCCTTGGATCTTAAGAACAATGAAAAAGCAATCAGGTTCTTAAAAGAAGAATTTTAATTGAAGACAAAAAGTAAAAGAATCACCTGTGTAAAATCAGGATGGTAAATACCTTACAGGGTAAGCAGATTCAAAACATAGAGAATCCCTCTAGGCAAAACTTTAAGATATAAAAAGACACAAAAACAGGAATATACATTCCATTCAGCACAGCTTATTTTATCAGCCATTTAAACAAAACAATCTAACGCATATCTAGCTAGATTACTTACTGAGTTCTAAGACTCCATTCCTTTTCTGTTCCCAGCAAAAGCATCACACAGACAGAGAGAACCTTTGTTTCTCCCCTGCTCCAGCTTTGGAAGTATCTTGACTCCTGATTGGTCATTTTGGTCAGGTGCCAGCAAGGTTATCCTAGTTTCTTAACCCTTTACAGATGAAAGGGTTTTTCCTCTGGCCAGGAGGATTTTAAAGGTGTTTACCCTTCCCTTTATATTTATGACAACCACCATGGACACTTCAGAGCCCAATTCAACAAGGCGGGAGGAGGAGGAGGAGAAGCAAAGCAGGTGCTGAGGTGGAGGAAGATACCCCAGAATCCCTAGATGCATGCAGCCTGGAGCTGTTCTCAAGCCAGGAGGAAGGTAGTCAGTCGTGGCGGCCGGTGTTTGGGGAAGGACAAACACCAGAGGAGGTTCCTGGTAAATGGCTTGTATTTTGGGAAGGAAGTTATTCGGTGCGGGCTCTTGGGGTGAGGAGGGTTAGGGCTGCATGCATGCCAGATGCGGAATAGGGCACTGATGTGCTCTCTCACATCGTGGTAATCGGCCTCAGTGATCTCTTCAAAAGTCTCATCCAGAACTTGGGCAATGCGCTTGCACAGGTTTCTCAGGAGAGCCACTGTGTTCTTTGTCCTGGTAAGGCTAACTTGTCTGCGCCACTGTGCCATGAGGGGAGACCATTGCTGCAAACAGGCAAGCTGCATATGGGCCAGGGCGGAATCCGCATTGCTTCCCAGGTCACCCTTAGCAGTGAGTTATCTTCCAGGACTAACCCCTGTGGAAAATGTGGGGACAATTCAAGCTCAGCAGTTTCTCGTTGGAGTCTGTTTTTGAAGCTTTTCTGAAGCAAATACTCACCAGCAACCACACACCAAAAACACTAACCTAGGAACCTGTCCTTGCAACAAAGCCCAATGCCAACTCTGTCCACATATTTATTCAAGTGACACCATCATAGGATCTAATCACATTAGCCACGGCATCAGGGGCTCATTCACCTGCACATCTAGCAATGTGATCTATGCCATCATATGCTAGCAATGCCCCTCTGCCATGTACATTGGCCAAACCGGACAATCTCTATGCAAAAGAATAAATGGACACAAATCTGACATCAGGAATCATAATATTCAAAAACCGGTAAGAGAACACTTCACCCTCTGTGGTCACTCAGTAAAAGATTTAAGGGTGGCAATTTTGCAACAGAAAAGCTTCAAAAACAGACTCCAACGAGAAACTGCTGAGCTTGAATTAATATGCAAACTAGATACCATTAACTTGGGTTTGAATAGAGACTGGGAGTGGCTGGGTCATTACGCATATTGAATCTATTTCCTTAAGTATCCTCACACCTTCTTGTCAATTGTCTAAATGGGCCATCTTGATTATCACTTCAAAAGTTTTTTTGTCCTGCTGATAATAGCTCATCTTAACTAATTAGCCTCTCACAGTTTGTATGGTAACGTCCAACTTTTTTTCTTACTATATGTTCCATTCTATGCATCCGATGAAGTGAGCTGTAGCTCACAAAAGCTTATGCTCTAATAAATTTGTTAGTCTCTAAGGTGCCACAAGTACTCCTGTTCTCATTTGGCACAAAATCTCTCATGCTGTGGCTCAGGCTTGAGGTGCAGTTTATCAGTAGTCTTCCTTCTCTCAGTTCTCCTCCCCAGGCGGCTAATTCCCAGTATGGAGCCCCACTAATCTCCCCAGACAAAGTAAAAAGCAGCAGCCACTCAGCTCTGTAACTCTCCATTCAACACTGTACAGAAATGACAAAAGGCAACCGCAAGGGGGCTGAGGCTGTCAGTAAACTCATTTATTACAACTCATTCAGTTATTAAAAACCCACCACACAGAGCATGAGGCTCCCTGACCTGGAGGAGTCTGCACATACCCAGGTCCCAGAGGGATTTAGTCCTTCTTGGCATAGATAACATCCAGCGCATTCTGGGCATCTGTGATCTGCTGCTGCAGTCTCTCTCTGGTAGCCTCGTTAATAGCTTTTTTCAGCATGCCTTTCATTTCTTCCACGACAGCCCGGTAACCCGCTGTGTTGTGGAACACCCGGATGGCCCGATCCCCACACGACACAAGGTAGCGACTGTTAATGTCAAAGGCCAAGTCCGTGATGTACTCTCCATGGACGTTGACAAAGTGTTCCTCCTTCTCTCCCCTCCGGGTGTTGTACACAGTGATGCTGGTGCAGCTCGAGATGGCCAGCACACGAGCATCAGGGGACAGGGCAATGCGACAAGGCTCCATCACTTCACACTTCCCTGTCAGGAGCAGATAAGGATCCTGTTGCTTCTTGTATTCTACATCTGTGTCCCACAGCTTCCAGGTGCCATCCTTCGAAACAGTCGCCATCCTATGGCAGGAGAGAGCACACACATCACAGCTGCAAAGAGACGAGGCGGCACCATTCCTCTCTCCACCCCCACAAACCACAGCCCCTGGTATGGAACAGAAAGAAGAAAACTCTCCTGAACAGTGCAGACTGCAAGTAGAGAGCAGCTGACCCCATTATCTGGGGAGAGGGGAAGGTTAGTGCTCATAAAAGCAATTCCCTTCAAACATGAGCATATGGGCCTGTCACCAATTGGGTCAAAACTGACGGAAAAGGAAATCTCAAATGTTAATATAAACATGAGTCTTCATTCTCCATCCAAGTGGGGAAGAATGGTTATGTACCAAGGTTAGCGCAATCTATCTGGAGAAGGAAGAAGTGGGACCCTCCCTGGGTGAGCGCAGTCTCCATGCTGACTTAGAGATTTGCTTCCATGGATTCCTTTTCCCAAGCTTCCTATTGGTCAGGATGGACAGTTTTGGGGCACACTGCTGAGAAAGGGGAGTCCATACAGACTTACTGCTTCTAGACATTAGAAGGGGCCAGCTAACAAGCCACAAGGGAATGGGATACCGGTATTTTTCGGGTAGCTCCTTACCGTCTGGAGTCATTGGAGAAAGAGAAGAAGTACACACCAGCAGCATGGCCCTTCAGCTCAAACGCCCTGGTCACCTCCCGGAAGTCTCCTCCCTTGCCAAAGCACACCTCCCATACCTTCACATCAGGGGTGAAACCACATGATGCTACAAACCTTGGGAGGGGAGAAAGAGCATGTATGTTCATCAATTATGCCAGCCCAGTCACTAAGCATCTCCCAGGCCTGTGACGGCGTCAGCCCTCAGGGGTCAGATCCTCTAGTGCCTAAGCTTGGAGCCTAATGAGCCCATGGTCTCACTGGTGAGAGATCATTACAGAGTGATCTTGGTTAGTGGACAACGTCCACTACGAAAATCACATTTCCATCAGAAGATTTGGTGAAAGTAACCCCTACAATATTCTTAAACTTGAAAAAACAGAAACACAGCTGCACCTCTGACAGCACAAGTCTAGTCAGTCTCAGATCTGATGACGTAAGCTCTTTCCCAGACTTCAGGAGAGTGGTTCGCAGTAACAGCAGCAGCAATGCTGAAGGTGAACAGGCAGCAAGCAGATGTAGAAAGGGAAGGAGAGATGAGCCAGAACATGCCTGGTGGTACCACTTTTAGACCTGCCCAAAGGCCCTTCTAAACAGGCAGGGGAACATAACCTTCCATAACTTCTCAAGGGCTTTTAGGGGTAGGATGTACTGTTTAAAAGTGGATCTTTGAAATTTAAAAAAAATCAATCAACTGCAAACAATTCGCGTTGATGCCCCTTTGGGAAAGGAGTGATGCTCCTGGCCCGTTCTATTTCTTTTGCCCCTCACACTCTCCGATGGGAGCAGATAGCATCCTAATCCCCCATCCCCTTGGCAGCTGTCTTGGGTTCCTCACCGCCCACAAGGAGATACAGCTGCAAAGGCATTGTTCATCTGGTTAGTGTTGATGTTGGCCAGGACTTCACCCTTCAGGTCCCAGATCAGGATGGTTGTGTCGCTGGAAGCTGTCATGATGAACTTCCCTAGGGAATGAAGGACAAAGATTAGTAGTCTCCAAAGTCTAGTGTTAGTCTGGCCACACAGAAGAACATGCTAGCAGCCAAACAGTCAGATCACTCAAGCTTCCTATGGGCTGTCCCACCCACCGCCAGGAGAGGCATGTCTAGTCTAGAAAGTGATCCATTCCTAGACATCAGGGAGGGGAAGGAAAAAGCAAAAGAACCCCACAATTCTGAGTGCTGTGGGGTGGGGGAGAGATCCACTCTGAGCTCCCCTCTTCCTGGATGCAATAGCAGAGAGAGGCACAAGGCTAGCAAATGCTCATTAAGAGAAGGCAGTTTCAGCTGCCCTAGGACCAAAAAACTCTCCCCTCTGAGCAGGACCGCTGCACTTGACTGGGCTTAACATTTTTTGGAGGGGGGGAGGAGTTGTAAAGAAAAGGGCAGGAACTAAAGGTCCCAAATGCTTCTGTCCCGGGGCATGCTCCTTTTTGTAGCTAAGCAGACCATGGCCTTTCTGCATTCAGCCAGATAAAGCTTTCCAATAGTGCACAGAATATGCCAACCAGATTCTACAAGCTTCAGTGATATAAGGCTGTAAGTGTGTCCTCCTTGCTCATCACAGTCTTGTGAAAAGCACTTGCAAGAAGGCTCAGTTCCTGAGTCTGCACTGATGCTCAGTCCCTTTAGTTTCCACAGGGTGCACCAGGCTAGGAATGGTTGACTTTGAAATAAGACAGTTACCTTTTTCCGTAACTGTTGTTCTTCGAGATGCACTGCTCATAGCCATTCAACTTAGGTGCATGTGCTTGCCACACGCACCGGTGCCGGAAGCTTTTCCCTCAGCAGTATCCATAGGGGACCAGCTCTGGTGCCCCTTGAAGTGGCGCGCACATGTCACAGCATATAGGGCACTGCCGGCCCCCTCCACCTTCAGTTCCTTCTTGCTGGAAACTCCAACAGTGGGGAAGGAGGGCGGGTCATTGAATGGACATGAGCAACACATCTCGAAGAACACCAGTTATGGAAAAAGGTAACTGTCTTTTCTTCTTTGAACGATTGCTCATGTCCATTCAACTTAGGTGACTCCAAGCAGTACCCCGGAGACAAGTAAGGAGTTCACGGACATGTAGATTACAACACAGCTCTGCTGAACCCAGCATCGTCCTTGGCCTGCTGCGTGATGGCATAGTGGGTAGTGAACATGTGAACCAAGGACCACGTCATGGCTTTACAGATGTCCTGGATTGGAACATGTGCCAGGAAGGCTGCCGAGGATGCCTACGCCCTAGTTGAGTGGACACTTCCTGTTCTGCCTGGTGGTGAACAGATCCACTTGGGGAGATCCCCACCTCTGGAAGATAGCGCAGGCTACCTCTGGGTGAAGCACCCACTCGAGATGAGAGGAGAAGTCCCTGCTTAGGTGATCTGCTAACGTGTTCTTGACTCCTGGGAGGTGACATGCTTCTAGATGGATTCCGTGGTCGATGCAGAAGTCCCAAAGACGGAGTGCCTCTTGGCATAGGGCTGAGGACTGAGCTTCCCTAGTGTGTTGATATAGAACATAGAGGCTGTGTTGTCTGTCAAGACTCTGATCGACAGGTGACAAAGGAAGACTGCGCAAACCCCGCAGACCACCCTGAGCTCTTTGACATTTATGTGTAACGTCATCTCTTCCGGGGACCACGTACCCTGGGTCTGGAGATCGCTGAGGTGTGCCCCGAACCAAGATCCGAGGCATCCGAAACCAACTTGACCAAGAAGGGAGTGCTGTCAAAGGGGACTCCTTCCAGGACATTCCAAGGGTTGGATCACCATTGGAGTGAGGTATCGTTGTGAAAACGGTGACAATCTTTTCCAGGTGGTGCCTGGACTGGGAGTAGACAGTTGCCAGCCATTGCTGCAGGGTTCGCATCTGTAGCCTGGCATGGTACACAACATATATGCACACTGCTATGTGACCTAGGAGGTGCAGGCAAACCCTGGCCGTGGTCAGGGGAAATGCGGAGATTTCTGCGATGAGGTCCGCTAATGCCCTGAACCTATCCAGCAGCATGAACGCTCTGGCAGAGGCTGAGTCGAGCACCGCTCTGATTAACTGTATCCTCTGTACCTGAACCAATGTGGATTTTGTGTTGTTCACCAACAGTCAAGGCGATGGCACGTGCCCAACAGAACTGCAACATCCCCTTGGACCTGGAGTTGCCCTTGACGAGCCAGTCGTCGAGGTACGGGTAGATCTGGATACCCGGACATCTGAAGTAAGCCGCCACCACCAGCATGCACTTGGTAAATACCCATGGTGGTGTTGCTAGGCCAAACGGAAGGACCGCGAACTGACAGTGGTTAGGACCTACCTTGAACCAGAGGAAGCATCTGGGTCCCTCAGAGATGACGATGTGGAAGTATGCATCTTTCAGATAGAGGGCAGCATACCAGTCTCCCAGGGAAGGGATGATGGAGGCCAGGGAGACCACGTGGAACTTCAGTTTCACTAAGTAGTGGTTCAAGCTCCACAGACCACCCTTGGCCTTGGGGATTAAAAAGTATCAGGAATAGAACCCCTTGTTCCTGTACTTCACAGGAACTACCTCCACCACACCCAGGTGCGGTAGACCCTCTGCCTCCTGCATGAGAAGACTCTCGTGAGAATGATCCATGAAGAGGGACGGGGAGAGAGGGTAGAAAGTAACCGTAGGGTGTAACCCTGCACCACCATATTGAGAACCTGTCGGTCCGATGTTATAGATGCCCAGGAAGGAAGAAAGGTGATTGGCAAACACAGGGGAGGAAGGTAGTCTACATTGTAGGTATCGGAGCTTATCCTGCAGCTAGGGAACCTCGCTCTGAACCCGAGCTAGAGCCCAAGTGATCTCTCCCCTGGGACCAAGATGGGGCTGAGAGGTGGGTCTGTCCTGATTGGTATACCGGTCACGCCTCCCGGAGTTGGATCTGGCTGACTTCAACGAGCGCCTGGATCGGGGCCTCAGTGACCAACGGCGCTCGGCAGATCCGCGACGGCCTTGGGCCAGCAATCTATGCCTCACGCTTAACGAATGGTACCAGGAACCAGAGCGGGCATGGCATCATGAAGATGAAGCTGCATGCGGTGATGCCGCCCTGGAGGATTGGTAATGGTCCAGAAAACGGTATCATCGGTTCCTCGACCTATCCCTGGAGTGGTACCAGTGCCGCGGAGATTCCAGGCACCAACTCCGAAACTCCTGCCGGGGGACGCGTGCCTCCAGAAGTCTGCACCCGGCAGAGCCACAGCTCAAGTCTCTCTGCCCTTGTCCGAGGTCTGAAGACCAGATGGGGATGCGAAATTTCTCCTTATCATGGTCAGAAGCATGTTGGCTGCGAGAGGGCGAGTGCTAGCAGGATGTCCCCAGTGACAGGGAGTATTGCCATAGAGGTGGAGACTGGGATGGTTCAAATGTGGGTTTACTCTGTGACTGGGACCCCACAGAAGCTGGAGTGGGAGGAACATAATCTCTTGCGCTGCTTGCAGGGCCTCCGGTGTGGACGGCACCTGGAGCTGACAAGGACCTCCATCGCTATCCGGGGTAGCCAGCGGGGAGAGGGCTGGGCAACACCACTCAACGTGAGCTGGGGCCTGAGATCCTGAAAGGGATGAAGAGGTGCCCAAGACAGGGCCTTGATCCACCCCAGACTTGTCCTTTCCCTTGCGGGAAGCTGGAGACCTTCTTCACTCCGTCTTCTTGGCTAGTGCCACGTAAGGGGACCGGTGCCAGCTCACAGATGGTACTGACGGGGCACTGCGCACCGAGGTCACAGTGCTCGGCATCAAATCAGAGCGCGGTTCCGGCATCAGGGTAAGGGCAGACTCAATAAGGAGTGCTTTCAAGCGAATGTCACGCTCCTTCTTCATCCTGGCTTGATTCTGCAGAACTTGCAGATTCTGCAGAACTTGCAGATTCTGCACGTATCACTAACGTGACCTTCACCCAAGCACTGTAAACAACTGTTATGTGGATGGCTAATGGGCATGGGCCTTTTACAGCAATCGCAGGGCTTCAAGCCTGGGGACCGGGACATGCCCAGTCCCGATGCAAAGTCCCATTCGGGACCGACTAAGTCTCTAACAAATAGGGAAACTAAAACTAGAGAGAAACTATATACAATAATATACAACAGGTAAATGGGTTTGAACAAATGAGACGCAACAGTGCTAGCTAAAGCAGCAACAGTTCTATGCACCGTCACTTGTAGCAAGAAGGAACTGAGAGTGGAGGGGGCCGGCGGTGCCCTATACGCCACGGCATATGCGCACCACTCCAGGGGGCACCAGAGCCGATCCGCTCCGGATACTGCTGAGGGAAAAACTTCCAGCACCTGTGCATGTGGCAAGCACACATACCTAAGTTGAATGGACATGAGCAATCACTGGAAGAAGAAGCCAATGTACAGGCTGCCATCAGTCTGAATTCTGAGCACTGCCTGGGAAGTCACATCAGCTTCTTGGGCCTGGTGCCTCTCAGAATCCATTGTCAGAGTTGGAGTCTACAGAGGCGGCAGGATAACGATGCAGTTAGAAGACTTGACTCCCCACAAGAAACTCACCCCAACAGGTGCAGGTAATTGAAGGGACGCTGCCCTCTTAAAAGTCATGGATAAAGAAACTGATTTGGTTACAACCCATGCTACTAATGCACTGCAGATTGCTGCTGATGCCATTTACTTCGTGTATTTCTCTTAGCTTGGACACAATGAATGTTTCCCATTTGTTCAGAGACAAAAGGTGGATGATGTAATGGCTTTTATTGGACCAACTTCCATTGGTGAGAGAAATAATCTTTTGAGCTTACACATAGCTCTTCTTCAGGTCTGGGAAACTTACTCAGGCCATGTCTGCACTTGGAACGCTGAATCAGCACAGCTGCGCCACTTAAGTGAAGATGCTCCTACGCCAATCGGAAAGAGCTCTCCCATCGGTGTAGTTAAACCACCTCCCCGAGAGGAGGCAGCAACTCTCCCATCAACATAGCACTGTCTACTTGGAGGATTAAGGTCAGTGTACCTATGTTGCTCAGGGGTGTGGATTTTTAACCCCCCTGAACAACTTAGTTATACTGACATAGCTCTGTAGCGTGGACCTGGCCTCAGAGTGTCACAGCTAAATACACGGTGAAACAAATTGTTTAGCGTTAAGTAGGTAGTTAACCCAAGGGACCATTCAAGGTGAAGTAGCCCATTAACACACCTCCAATCACAGAGAGGAAAGGAAGGGTGGGAAGAGCAGTTGGGGGGCGGAGGGGGTGTGTTAGTGGGCTGGTTATAGATTGTTATAATAAGCCATAAATCCAGTGTTTATTCAGTCCATGATTCCTAGTGTCTAGTAGAGTTGATTTTAAGCTCACAAGCTTGTGTTTTGAAAGTGTTGCATAGGTTTCCTTTGAAGATGAGGACTGACAGGTCAGACAGAGTGACTGTTGTGGTGAGAGGGTCTTTTTGTCTGTTACCATTTTCCCATGTGAGTTTATTCGAAAGCATAGTGATTGTCTGCCTTCACCCACATAGTTGCTATTGGGGCACTTAGTGCACTGGATGAGGTACACCGCGTGTGGCGATAGGCATGTATAGGACCATGGATCTTGAAAGGTGTGTTGTGGGGGGCTGTTGATCGCTGTAGCAGTGGAGATAGGTCTGCAGGTTTTGCATATGTTGTTCTGGCAGGGTCTGGCGCTGCTTTGCGTTGGGAGTCCCCTGGGCTGTAGCGAGCTTGCTTCTGATGATAAGCTTGGAGACATTATCTGAAGGCTAGAGGAGGGGGTTCAGGAAAGATTTCTTTCAGGATGGGGTCCCCATCGAGTATGGGTTGTATTTGTTTGATGGTACCCCACATGGATTCCAGTGTGGAGTGGTAGATGACAAGTGGGGTATGTTGTCAGAGGGGGTTTTATTTCTGTATTGAAGCATGTTCTCTCAGGGTAGCTGGGTGGCCTGTTCCATGATGCGATCTATTTCTCTGGTGCAGCATCTGTGTTTGGTGAAGGCAGTTTTGAGTGTATTATGGTGTATATCCTGGACTTTTGCCTGGGGAGCATTTTTTGTAGTACCTGAGTGCCTGATTGTAGATAACAGACCACTTCACCTGAATGGTCCCTTGAAATATGCGCTAACTACTTATGCTAAACAATCTGTTCCACCTAGTATTTAGCTCAGACACTCTGGGTATGGCTACGCAGCAATGTAAGCATAGGTCTACATTTAGAACTCCCCTTGCATCCACACACCAATTGTTAAGCTAAGGCTCAAACCTAGAGTCCCAGGACCCTGCAGGGCTAGAGAGTCTCCGAGCCCTACTGCTTTCCTGTGTGTACATGGCCCCAGCTTGCCATTTCTCAGGTCCCAGAGGTCCTCCGGATATACCCCAGAGTTCCATGGGGCAACTTCGTTAGTCCTCTTCATGCCATTGCACTCTATTGCAGCAGAAGCCACACCTCCCTCTGCAATTCAGATCACCGTTAACCCATTGTCTTCTGAACACTAGTCTGCAAGCACACTATCAGAGTGCCTGCACGGTTTTCAATGCAAAGAAGCTTTTTGCAAAGAGAGCTGTTCCCTGGTCACAAGAACACAGCCAGATTTTGATGCATGCTCCCCAGGTGCCCGGCATACATAGTCCCTGCTCCACTCTCTGGCCCCCCCTGCCCTTCCTGGGGCTAAGTGGCTGCATAGCAGTGACTGGATGCAGCAGAGCTCCCAGCTCAGCGGGGGGTGGGGAAGACCCCAACATCCTGTCCACTCCCCCTCCCTGCAGGGCAGCCCAGGTAGTGCGCACTGTGAGGGCGGTGAGTAGGAGCCAGCCCCAAAACCTCCCTGCAGCCTCCTGTGGCGGTGGCTCCAGCTTCTCCTCGCTGCTGCACAGAGCTTGCTCGGATCAGGGAGCAAAGCTGACAGGTGGGAGATGGCTCCCAGCTGCCAAGGTGTTGGGGGTCATCCGTCCCCCAGCATGCTCCCCCTTCCTGCAGGGGAGCTGCTTGGTGCCTCCTTGCTCCTGGGTCCCTCTACCCTTCCTGGGGCTGTGTCCAAGGGCACCCAGGCAGCATGCACTGTGAGGGGCAGTGAGTGGGAGCCAGTCCCAAAACTTCCCCACAGCCTCCCGGGAATCCCTTATCCCTACCTGCCGGGGTGTGGCAGGAATAAGGGAACCCCATGGGGTACTGGAGCACACTGCACCCCAAACCCTGGGGAAGCCCTTCACCTCTCCTGCAGCTGGCAGCAGAGAGGTGAAACATACATTTTATGTCAAACTTGAAGACAAAGTCAAAAATAAATAAAAAGCTAACCAAACAAAAACAATTTAACTGGATATCCCATTTTAAAAAATAAGAATTGCAACGTTTCATTTTAATAGTTTGACAGCCCTGGAGACTGATGTGCTAACTATCCTCAGACAGAAAGAAAAGGAGTACTTGTGGCACCTTAGACACTAACAAATTTCTTTGAGCATAAGCTTTCTGTAGCTCACGAAAGCTCATGCTCAAATAAATTGGTTAGTCTCTAAGGTGCCACAAGTCCTCCTTTTCTTTTTGTGAATACAGACTAACACGGCTGCTACTCTGAAACCTATCCTCAGACAGGTGCACACAGGCATTTTCCTGCCAATGTGACTCAGTCTAGAGCTGGAAAGCCCAGGTCTCAGGTCAAACGGTAGTTCAGTATAAAGCCTTCTCCAACTGCAGTCATTCTAAGGAGACAGCCACCAAAGGAGCTAATTATGCAGTTATGAGCTTCTTATGGCACTAGAGTCCCAACTAGCACCTCACAGTTGGGAAACAGGGTGGACAGTAGAGTTTTCCCACAGTAAAACACAGTCATAGGGCTAGAGTGACGCTAGCCACTCTGGGATGGGGTTACTTTGACTTGGGTCTGTTCACTGCACAGCCCTCAGTTTGAGCATGGGACAGAAAATCCTTAGCTTAGGGTTAAAATGCAGTGTAGATGCTCAAGCCCAGAGTTCTCCGATACAGGTCAGCTGACTCGAATCCCACTAACCCTAGGCTTACATTGCTGTGTAGACATACCCTCTAAGTTTCCCTGACTTGAAGTAGAGCTCTGTATAAGCTTGAAAGCTTGCGTCTCTCACTAACAGAAGTTGGCCAGTGAAAGATATTACCTCACCCACCTTGTCTCTCTAACATCCTGGGACTGACACAGCTACAACATCCCATTTGTTCAGTCAGGTTTGCCCTCAGATTGTTTGCTGCAATACTTGGGATTCCAACATCACAGCCAAGTGCTGTATTAAAAACTAACATTTCTCCACAACTCTAAAAACAGAAATCCAGTGAAAATACTCATTTCACTTGGGAGTCACACACAGTTCAACAGTGTCCCTTGAAATGCTAGGGCTCCTACAAACAATGATGTGACCCCTCTTGCAGCCACAACTCTGAGCACACAGAGTTCACACTACGTTCAGAGGTAAGTCTTAATCCATCAGGACCTGTGTGTATTAACAGTACAACAGCTGAGTTCCCACCGTTGGGAACAATGTTTTGTTACATGGATCCCAGAAGCTCACGGTGAGCACCCCCTTCCTCATCCTATCAGCCTGCACTTGGAGATTCTTACCAGTTAAAACCACATCTGTGTGTCAGAATACAGCGTATACAGTTTTAGAGACCAGACCTCTTTGCAAGCAGAATCTCTGAAGAGTCAAGAAGAGAGAACATGTGCACTAGGAAGTGAATTTGAATGTTCCTGGTTCTTACAGGAAGAACTCTCTTTGTGGACATTAAATATAAGCACTTAACACATGAGAAGTGGAGACAGAAGCGTTAAGTGACTTCTCCAAGGTCACTCAGTCAGTTACTGAGCTGCAATTAGATCTGAGGTGTGACCAATGCTCAAACCAGCAGCTGCTGCTCTTCAAAAAGTACAAGGCAGATGGCTCACAAGCCCAGATGAAAGGGGGCAGCCCTGTCTCTGTACCTGTCTCAGCAATTCCGATGTTGATGATGGGGGCTTTGTGCTTCTTTGGGAAGTCTTCAAGGGCTGCAGTGAAAGTGAAGTTGCCATCCTCCTTCTTGGTCATTTTAAATACACGAATGGTCTCTCCGTTTGCCAGCCAGGTGATGAAGGCTCTGAATGAAGGAAGGACAGTCATTTCCTGGAGCCAACACAACGAACAAACCATTGCAGAATGTCATAGACCACATGTAGGCGTGCTCATCTCACACTAAGTTTATTTTTGTGCACCTTGCTAGATTGCAAGGGATATAGCTGGGTGACTAGAGGCAACCAATCCAGGAACTTGCTTAGAGCTTTCCTAGCCTGTCTCCCATTTGCAATGGTCTGAGTGTAGCTCTTTATATAGAATTTAGTGCTGGTGAGAAGTGCTAGATGGCAACTCTGATGACTGAATCCGCCGTTTGTCCCCAGAGTATGTACAACATGGGCAGCAGCAGCAGGGCAAGCTTCCCCATCACTACAGCTCTGAGATGCCTCTTCTCAGACACAGTCAAATAGGCCCCATAGCTCCTACTCCCTTTGTGAGAATGCCAAGTGATGCCTAGTGCCCATTTTGATGGTGGTTTTGATGATAACCCTAACCAAGACCCCCAGCTCACTCCATACAGGTCAAACAGTCATAGAATATCAGGGTTGCAAGGGACCTCAGGAGGTCATCTAGTCCAACCCCCTGCTCAAAGCAGGACCAATCCCCAACTAAATCATCCCAGCCAGGGCTTTGTCAAGCCTGACCTTAAAAATATCTAAGGAAGGAGATTCTACCACCTCCCTAGGTAACGCATTCCAGTGTTTCACCACCCTCTTAGTGAAAAAGTTTTTCCTAATATCCAGCCTAAACCTCCCCCACTGCAACTTGAGACCATTACTCCTTGTTCTGTCATCAGCTACCACTGAGAACAGTCTAGATCCATTCCTCTTCCATCCTGCGGAAGAGAAGAATGAGGGGGGGATTTGATAGCTGCATTCAACTACCTGAAAGGGGGTTCCAAAGAGGATGGCTCTAGACTGTTCTCAATGGTAGCAGATGACAGAACGAGGAGTAATGGTCTCAAGTTGCAGTGGGGGAGGTTTAGATTGGACATTAGGAAAAACTTTTTCACTATGAGGGTGGTGAAACACTGGAATGCATTACCTAGGGAGGTGGTAGAATCTCCTTCCTTAGAGGTTTTTAAGGTCAGGCTTGACAAAGCCCTGGCTGGGATGATTTAACTGGGAATTGGTCCTGCTTTGAGCAGGGGGTTGGACTAGATGACCTCCTGAGGTCCCTTCCAACCCTGATATTCTATTCTATGATTCTTTGGAACCCCCTTTCAGGTAGTTGAAAGCAGCAATCAAATCCCCCCCTCATTCTTCTCTTCCGCAGACTAAACAATCCTAGTTCCCTCAGCCTCTCCTCATAAGTCATGTGTTCCAGTCCCCTAATCATTTTTGTTGCCCTCCGCTGGACGCTTTCCAATTTTTCCACATCTTCTTGTAGTGTGGGACCCAACACTGGACACAGTACTCCAGATGAGGCCTCACCAATGTCGAATAGAGGGGAACGATCACGTCTCTCGATCTGCTGGCAATGCCCCTACATATACATCCCAAAATGCCATTGGCCTTCTTGGCAACAAGGGCACACTGTTGACTCATATCTAGCTTCTCGTCCACTGTAACCCCAGGTCCTTTTCTGCAGGACTGCTGCCGAGCCATTCGGTCCCTAGTCTGTAGCGGTGCATGGGACTCTTCCTCCCTAAGTGCAGGACTCTGCACTTGTCCTTGTTCAATCTCATCAGATTTCTTTTGGCCCAATCCTTTAATTTGTCTAGGGCCCTCTGTATCCTATCCCTACCCTCCAGCGAACTCTCCTCCCAGTTTAGTGTCATCTGCAAACTTGCTGAGGGTGCAATCCATGCCATCCTCCAGATCATTAATGAAGATATTGAACAAAACCGGCCCCAGGACCGACCCTTGGGGCACTGCATTTGATACCGGCTGCCAACTAGACATGGAGCCATTGATCACTACCTGTTGAGCCCGACAATTTAGCCAACTTTCTATCCACCTTATAGTCCATTCATCCAGCCCATACTTCTTTAACTTGCTGGCAAGAATACTGTGGGAGACCATGTCAAAAGCTTTGCTAAAGTCAAGGAACAACACGTCCACTGCTTTCCCCTCATCCACAAAGCCAGTTATCTCGTCATAGAAGGCAATTAGATTAGTCAGGCATGACTTGCCCTGACTTGTTAGTCGACCTGTAGAGATAACTTTTGATTCCTACAATCTGTGCTGGATTCAAACCAATAAGGTACAGGGTTACAGCTACATGTGATCAGGCACAACCTAGGAGAGATGGCTGGGGTCATTACTACAGTTAAAGGGTTTGGCCATTTTTTATATTTAAAGACCACAGCTTATCATGCTGACCAATATTCTCGCATTGTTTCCTTGGGTACACAGAGATGGGAATACATCTCATGTCTCGTCTTGCACTTCAACTGTAAACCTCTTGAGGCAAAGATGGTCTTTTTGTTGTTTGTACAGCGCCCAGAACAATGGGGGCTGGGTCCATGGCTGGGGCTCATTAATACAGGTCATAAAACAAAGACTCCAGGATCATTTGCACTTTGTGTGATGTAAACATGCTGAGAAACAGCTGCAGCTCTGCTCACAGCACTGGCCTGAGAGCCTGGGAAGTGCTGCAGCTCGCCAGCCTGCATAGTTAACCTGTTGCCAGGCCCAGACAGTGGGGAGAGGGAAAAAGAAGCTGAAGTCAGAGCCCAGCTTCTGGGACACTGGAAGCCTGCAGGAGTAGGAACAGGCCAATTCTGAACTCACTAAACCCTGTGAAAAAAAGAGGAACTAATTTTCAGGTAAGGGAATTTATTTGTTCAGATCAGCAAGGACCTAATAAATCTTCAGGGGCAGAGTGTGCTGGACAAGATCCTGCTCCCCCACTTAGGCCTTTGGTAATAAGAAGAGCTATCCTGTCAAGCTAGGAAAAGAAAACCCTTCCTTTTTAAGTCTCGTGCTTTGATTTCCCAGCCCCACCCACAGCAGTCACTTCTCACCTGGAATCTGGGCTGAAGCAGACCAGTGTAGCATGGTCCAGTTCCACATTGGCTCGCATGCAGCGGTGCTCACGCTCCAGGAAGTCTTTGGTGCTCCAGATCCGGACAGTGCGGTCATCAGCGCAGGACACCAAGTACTTGCCGTTGCTACTGAAGTTGAGGCAGGTTACACTCCCACTGTGACCCTGTGGAAAACAAGCATGATCAGCACCAGCTTTTTGCGTGATGAATGGAACAGGTAATCTGCCTGTTCCATCCCAGGGCTCCAAGGCCTGCTGAAAGGAAACGTGGGAAACAAGCAGGGAGAACTGGAAGTCCTGACACAGTCAAGGAATTATGAGGTGATTGGAATAACAGACTTGGTGAGATAACTCACATGACTGGAGTACTGTCATGGATGGATATAAACTGTTCAGGAAGGACAGGTGGGGCAGAAAAGGTGGGGGAGTTGCACCGTATGTAAGGGCATGGCTACACTTGCAGATGCGCAGTGTGTTAAACCCGCCTTCATACAGCGCAGTAGAGAAAGCGCTGCAGTCTGTCCACACTGACAGCTGCAAGTGCACTGGCGTGGCCACATTTGCAGCACTTGCAGCAGCACTGGGAGCGGTGCATTGTGGGCAGCTATCCCACAGAGCACCTCTTCCCATTCTGGTGCTGTGGATTGTGGGAAGGGGGCAGGAAGTGCAGGGCATTCTGGGTCCTGTCCCAATGCCCCGTGATGCATCGGTTCGCATCCCAGCATTCCCTTTGCTTCTGTCCACATTTGGCGCCATCTTTCAATGGTTTTTGTATGGCGCGCTCTGTCTTCCCTTTCGGTCTGCGGGAATGGAGCCCGAACTGAGGAATATGCTGACGAGTCTCGCCAGCGTGTCACGTTTGGCAGTTGAGTTATTCCTTAAGATCCAAAGTGACAGTAAGGGCTCCGACGAGGATATCGACTAGAGTAACGCAAACGACACAAGTTTGCTTGCGGCATTCACGGACATGCTCACCACTGTGGAACGCTGCTTTTGGGCTCAGGAAACAAGCACTGAGTGATGGGATCACAGCATCATGCAAGTCTGGGATGACGAGCAGTGGCTGCAGAACTTTTGGATGAGAAAAGCCACTTTCATGGGACTGTGTGAGGAGCTCGCCCCCACCCTGCAGTGCAAGGACACTAGATTGAGAGCTGCCCTGACAGTGGAGAAGTGGGTGGCTTTTGCAATCTGGAAGCTGGCAACTCCAGACAGCTACCGATCAGTCGCTAACTAGTTTGGAGTGGGGAAGTCGACCGTTGGAATCATGTCGATGCAAGTTTGCAGGGCCATTAATCGCATCCTGCTCAAAAGAACCATGACTAAGTAACGTGCATGACATTGTGGCTGGCTTTGCACAAATGGGTTTCCCTAACTGCGGAGGGGCGATAGATGGCACACATATTCCAATTCTGGCACCAGCCCACCTAGCCTCCAAGTATGTTAATCGGAAAGGGTATTTCTCTATGGTTCTACAAGCGCTTGTGGATTACCATTGGCCTTTCATTGACATTAACGCAGGCTGGCCCAGAAAGGTGCATGACGCACGCATCTTTCAGAACATTGGCCTGTTCAAGAAGCTGCAGGCCGGGACTTTTGTCCCAGACCAGATCACAGTTGGGGGAAGTCGAAATGCCCCTTGCGATCCTTGGAGATCCCGCTTACCCTTTAATACCGTGGCTCATGAAACCCTACACAGGGAGTCTTGACAGCAGCAAGGAGTGGTTCAACAACAGGCTGAGCCAGTGCAGAATGACTGTGGAGTGTGCTTTTGGTCGTTTAAAGGGCTGCTGGCACTCTCTGTATGGGAAGCTGGACCTGGCTGACGACAGCATCCCTGCAGTTATATCCACGTGCTGTACCCGCCATAACATTTGTGAAGGGAAGGGTGAACAATTTGCTCAGGCATGGAACTTGGAGGTTCAACACCTGGAGACTGAATTTGAACAACCAGAGAGCAGGGCTATTAGAGGGGCCCAGTGCGGAGCTGCAAGGATTAGGGATGCCTTGAGGGAGCAATCTGAGGCTGAAAGCCAACAGTAATGTCTGGCGTGGTGCCCTGCATGGGAGTGAAGTGCGGTAGGAATCTGTGTTTGCTACGTATGATACACTGACTTGCAGTGCCTGTTGCTTTCCTGGGCTAAGGTTTCTTTTACATTATGCTATAATAAAGAAGGTTTTCAAAGCCAAAAAAAATCAAGAAACAAATGCTTGGGAAACAGAAAGGGCAAGGGGGTGGGGTAGGGAATGGTAAAATCACAGATTTGCATATGGCCTGTCTGGAGTGCTGTGCAATGCAGGCTGCACTTCAGGATGGCTATACTGCATGATGATGGGGGTTGAGTGCTGTGGATAAAGGCTGTAGTTTTCAGGGCTGGGTGGTGAAGCTACAAGTGTTGGAGGCAGCGGGTGGAACCCAGATGTTGGGGAAACATGCTGGCACCAGGGCTGCAGGGGGTGCAGGCGTGGTAGTGCTCTGCCTGCATGGCTATGAGCGCCTGGATCGAGTCTGCTTGGTGCTCCATGATGCTTATCAGCTGCTCTGTGCTTTGATGCCGGTGATCCGCATTCTGCTGGCATACCCTCCTTTCACTCTCCCGCCACTCCTGCACTTTATTTTATTTTCATTAGTTGAATGCTACATGACTTCATGTAGCATGTCCTCTTTGCTTCTATGTGGCCTCTTCCTGATTCTTTGCAGCCTCTTGGCCATTGATAACACGAACGGCTGAGATCTCAAGGCTGCATCTGTAAAGGTAAATGCAACACTTAACAGAGGCAACATTGTTCACACCAGACAGAGCAAGGATCCCCCAGTACTCAAGGGCAAGCACAGTCTACACAATAGCATAATTTGCTCGTCCCAAAGCAAGTGCACATAACCCACCGAAGCCACAAAATGGAGAGTAAGCACAGGGGCAAGCGTGACTGATTGTTTCACGGCTGTACTGTCCTCTGGGCGTCTATGCCTTGGGGAGAGCCAACAGCGGCAGGGGGCCCCTAGATTGAACACTTTCCCCACATTTTTCACAGGAGTTCATCCTGGAAGAGATCTCGCTGCTAAGCGTGACCAGGGAAGTAAGGGAGGGTCTTCTACTGCAATGCGGATTCCGCCCTGGCTCATATGCAGCTTGCTTGTGTGCAGCAATGGTCCCCCCGCCCCTCATGGCACAGACGAGTTAGCCTTACCGGGACGAGGACAACAGTGGCTCTCCCAAAAAACCCGTGCAAGCCATTGCCCAAGTTCTGGCAGAGATCTTTGAAGAGATCACTGAGGCCGATTACCGCGATGTGAGGGAGCACATCAACACCCTATTCCGCTTCTAGGCATGCATGCAGCCCTAACCCTCCTCGCCCCAAGAGCCAGCACCAAATAACTTCCTTCCCAAAATAAAAGCCGCTTACCAGGAACCTCCTCTGGTGTTTGTCCCTCCCCAAGCACCGGCCGCCGCGACTGGCTACCTTCCTCCTGGCTTGAGAGCAGCTCCTGGCTGCATGCACCTAGGGATTCCAGGGTGTCTTCCTCCACTGGAGCACCCTCACTCCCGCTTTGCTGCTCCTCCTCCCGCCTTGTCGAACTGAGCTCTGAAGTTTCCATGGTGGTACTCAGAGTGGAGGTGGGGTCGGCCCCAAGTATCGCGTCCAGTTCTTTGTAGAAACGGCAGGTCACAGGGGCAGCATCAGAGTGGCAGTTTGCCTTGCGGGCTTTCCAGTAGGCATTCCACAGCTCCTTCACTTTAACGCTGCACTGCAGTGCGTCCTGGTCATGGCCCCTTTCCATCACATCCTTGATATCTGCTCGAAGGTACTGTAATTCCTACGGCTGGAGAGCAGGTGGGACTGGACAGCTTCTTCCCCACAAACACTGATGAGGTCCAGCACCTTGCCACTGCTCCATACTGGGGATCGCCTGGTGCATGGAGGCATGGTCACCTGGAAAGATTTGCAGAGAGCACTCCACGCCTGGCTGAGCAAACAGGAAGGGGATTTTCAAAATTCCCAGATAATTTAAAGGGCGGGTCTGACGGTTGGTCACCTGAGGGCTGGGCAGTAGAGTTCAAAGTGATGACCAGAGTGGCTAGAACAGGCATTGCAGGACACTTCTGGAGGCGGATCACAGCACAACAAGAGACCAGGGCGTCCACACTGGCGCCGCGGTGGTCCAGCAGTGGCTCAGCAAACGTTATTCCACTTGCCGAGGTGGAATACCAGCAGCACTGTAGCCGCCGAGACAGAGCACTCTAGGTGCCTTACCAGTGTGGACAGGTAGTGAGCTCGGGCGCCGAGGGCTCCTTTCTTGCGCTGTAACTTACAAGTTTAGCCAAGCCCTAAGAGAGCAGTATGACTGCTCAGAGTTCCAGTATGAAGCTTCAGAAAAACCTGAGTCTCTGGATTAAGTTTAGAAGTATGAACAACAGGAGTGATATCGTTGTGGAAATCTGCTATAGACCACCGGACCAGGGGGATGAGGCTTTCTTCAGGCAATTAACAGAAGTTACTAGATTGCAGGCCCTGGTTCTCATGGGAGACTTCAATCACCCCGATATCTGCTGGGAGAACAATACAGCAGTGCACAGACAATCCAGGAAGTTTTTGGAAAGTGTACGGAACAATTCCCTGGTGCAAGTGCTGGAGGAACCAACTAGGCATAGGTCTTCTCGACCTGCTGCTCACAAACAGGGAAGAATTAGTAGGGGAAGCAAAAGTGGAGGGGAACCTGGGAAGCAGTGACTATGAGATGGTCGAGTTCAGGATCCTGACACAAGGAAGGAAGAAGAGCAGCAGAATACGGACTCTGGACTTCAGAAAAAGCAGACTTTGAGTCCCTCAGGGAGCTGATAGGCAGGATCCCCTGGGAGAATAACATGAGGGGGAAAGGAGTCCGGGAGAGATGGCTGTATTTTAAAGAATCCTTATTGAGGTTGCAGGAACAAGAAAGAATAATAAATATGGCAAGCAACCAGCTTGGCTTCACAGTGAAATCCTTGCTGATCTTAAACACAAAAAAGAAGCTTACAAGAAGTGGAAGATTGGACAAATGACCAGCGAGGAGTATAAAAATATTGCTCGTGGATGCAGGAGTGAAATCAGGAAGGCCAAATCACACTTGGAGTTGCAGCTAACAAGAGATGTTAAGAGAAACAAGAAGGGTTTCTACCGGTATGTTAGCAACAAGAAGGTCAAGGAAAGTGTGGGCCCCTTACTGAATGGGGGAGGCAACCTAGTGACAGAGGATGTGGAAAAAGCTAAGGTACTCAATGCTCTTTTCGCCTGTCTTCACAAACAAGGTCAGCTCCCAGACAACTGCACTGGGCAGCACAGTAGGAGGAGGAGATGACCAGCCCTCTGTGGAGAAAGAAGTGGTTCAGGACTATTTAGAAAAGCTGGATGAGCACAAGTCCATGAGGCCGGATGCACTGAATCCGAGGGTGCTAAAGGAGCTGGCGGCTGTGATTGCAGAGCCATTGGCCATTATCTTTGAAAACTCATGGCGATCGGGCGAGGTCCTGGGTGACTGGAAAAAGACTAATGAAGTGCCCATCTTTAAAAAAGGGAAGGAGGAGGATCCAGGGAACTACAGGCTGGTCAGCCTCACCTCAGTCCCTGGAAAAATCATAGGGCAGGTTCTCAAGGAATCAATTCTGAAGCACTTAGATGAGAGGAAAGTGATCAGGAACAGTCAGCATGGATTTACCAACAGCAAGTCATGCCTGACTAATCTAATTGCCTTCTATGACAAGATAACCGGCTCTGTGGACGAGGGGAAAGCAGTGGACGTGTTATTCCTTGACTTTAGCAAAGCTTTTGACATGGTCTCCCACAGTATTCTTGCCAGCAAGTTAAAGTAGTATGGGCTGGATGAATGGACTATAAAGTGGACAGAAAGCTGGCTAGATCAACAGGCAGTGATCAATGGCTCCATGTCTAGTTGGCAGCCGGTATCAAGCGAAGTGCCCCAAGGGTCGGTCCTGTGGCCTGTTCAGTATCTTCATTAATGATCTAGAGGATGGTGTGGATTGCACCCTCAGCAAGTTTGCAGATGACCCTAAACTGAGAGGAGCAGTAGATACGCTGGAGGGTATGGATAGGGTACAGAGGGACCTAGACAAGTTAGAGGATTGGTCCAAAAGTTCAACAAGGACAAGTGCAGAGTCCTACACTTAGGAAGGAAGAATCCCATGCACTGCTACGGACTAGGGACCAAGTGGCTAGGCAGCAGTTCTGCAGAAAGGGACCTAGGGGTTACAGTGAACGAGAAGCTGGATATGAGTCAACAGTGCCCTTGCTGCCAAGAAGGCTAACGGCATTTTGGGCTGTATAAGAAGGAGCACTGGCAGCAGATCGAGGGACATGATCATTCCCCTCTATTCGGCATTGGTGAGGCCTCATCTGGAGTACTGTGTCCAGTTTTGGGCCCCACACTACAAGAAGGATGTGAAAAAATTGGAAAACATCCAGCAGAGGGCAATAAAAATGATTAGGGGGCTGGAGCACATGACTTATGAGGAGAGGCTGAGGGAACTGGGATTATTTAGTCTGCAGAAGAGAAGAATGAAGGGGGATTTGATAACTGCTTTCAACTACCTGAAAGGGGGTTCCAAAGAGGATGGATATAGACTGTTCTCAGTGGTAGCTGATGACAGAACAAGGAGTAATGGTCTCAAGTTGCAGTAGGGGAGGTTTAGGCTGGATATTAGGAAAAACTTTTTCACTGGGAGGGTGGTGAAACACTGGAATGCGTTACCTAGGGAGGTGGTAGAATCTCCTTCCTTAGATATTTTTAAGGTCAGGCTTGACAAAGCCCTGGCTGGGATGATTTAATTGGGGACTGGTCCTGCTTTGAGAAGGGGGTTGGACTAGATGACTTCCTGAGGTCCCTTCCAACCCTGATATTCTATTTCTATGGCCACAGCTGAGAGAGAGAGAGAGAGAGAAAACCATGTACATGAATCCCATCTGCTTCAGGGGCAAAAACCCACAGGACAGAGACCTTCTTCCCACCCAAGCATAGCAATGACCATCCCTTGGTCCTCACACCCATTCTCCTTCCTCCTGCTCTTCTTCTGTTCCAGGGCATACCTTTCACAGCTGATTCTCCAGGGCACTGGGCAAGTGAGACAGAGGGAATGGACACAGGATTGTGTGTGAAGAATGAGATGGGCTACAATAGGAAGAATAATAATTTCTAGCACTTACACAATGCTAGATCTCAGAGCACTTCAAAAAGGAGTTTGGGATAATTATCCCCATTTTACAGATGGGGAAACTTAGGCACAAGCAAGTCAAGGTCACTAAGCAGGCCAGTGTTAGAGCTGGAAACTGAACCCAGGTCTCCTGAGTCCCAATCCAGTGCCCTCTCCACTAGGCTACACTGCTTTCCAAAAATACCACCAAGCTGTTATGTAGCATTTTTCATATCATGTCATGCTACCCCTTGCCTGTGTGACTGCCTACAGCACCTCCTGCAGCTTGATTTCAGGAGGCAGCTGCTGACAAAACGAGACATATACCCATCATTAAAGAACTCTCAGCATTTCAGTGGGGACTGAAGAGAAGAGAAGAGCCTAGCAGAGGAATGCAGAGGCAATGAGCTCTGTGAGGAGCTGCAGCAATCACAGACTGGGATGGGGACAGGGACGTGACAAGAAGTGTTCACTTTTCAAGTGCCCAGGAGGAGCTGCTGGGGGTCACAGACATTAAACGAAACAGTCCCAAAGAAGGCACATCCGGGAATGGGCAGGGAACTTGTGCCTCATGCTTGAATGGCAGATCTCTGAGCAGGTGTGCGCAGATGCATGGAAGTCTGTTGGTACCTGTCCCCGTGCATAACAGTAGGTCAATGTTTGTTGCCAGGCAAAAAAACAGGTGCTGATGCTCACCAACTGATACGCCAGTTACCTTGAGTGCAGCAGCTAGGAGTGGATGTGTGAAGTTGTGTTGCTGGGGCTTATCCTTGCGGCTTCGTTGGTGCTGCTTCTGTCTCTTTGGTCCTGATGTCTTACTTACTGCTTCTCCATTTACTTTCTGGTCTAGAAAAAAACAAGAGGAGAGACAAGCATCAAGGTGATTTTCTGACATCTGTATCTCATTAGGAAACAAAGAGACACACAAATCGAGTAAACCAGAGCCACCATGCGCACCAGGACACACAAAAGAGTTATGAAGCAGCTCTGATGCTAAGACGTTCTCTAGAAAGCCTGCTCCCTCCTCTTTGCTAAGAGATTCCCACTTGATAGATGGCTTAGACAGCCCCTAAAATGATATTCTCACAGTAAAGTGAAATAAATCAGTTGTTTTTGGGTAGGGTGTGAGAAATTAATTTCCCCCTTAACTTGCCCTGACTTATCTAGGTATGAAAGCTTGTACATAACATAAGGAGCAATTGCTTGCACCACTTACTATTAGAAACATAAAACTGCAAATTATTCTCAGTAGTTAACATACCATGCTATGGTATGCTAGAGTTCGGGTTGAGAGTTTTTAATCCGTAATTTGCAGATGCAAAGTTGTAGAAGAACATTGTAGTTATATGAAAAAAATCACCACTAGGAATTCAGCCTAGACTCCCCTTCCCAAGCTGACGGTATTCCACCAGTCATCCTGCACTCATATCCCTGTCCTTCTCCACATGTAGTATGAAAAAAAAAAAAGGCTCTTGGATTTCCACTTGAAGCAAAAATATGACTAAATAAGTCTACTGGTCTCTTTTTATCCTGGACACTAAGGCAGACAGGCTCCTGCCCTAAGCAAGGAGAGCAGAGTGTATTTACTGAAGAAAAGAACACAAAACAAGATTTTTCCAGAGGTAAAGAGAATAAGGTGATGTTAGCAAATTAAACACACACCACTATTCCGAAGAGTCACCTTGCTCCAGGGTGTGATGGAAACGATTTAACTCAGGTTTGCCTGGTACATTATCCTGCTCCACAAGCAGTGACTGAAGCTACATCAAGGTGGCGTACTGCACTATTAATATCAGTCCTCCAGATTATGAGGACTGACATTAATATTCAATAGCTTCTGGGTCCCAGACCCAAAGAAACAGATAGAAGGCTTCTCTCCAGAAGGAAGAAAGCACTCACACCCTGGCAAGCAGATCTGGATCTTCCTAGAGGTGGGTCATGACACCCAGGGCCAGCCACCATCAGTTCCTGGCAAACATTTACTTTTTTAAGCAAAATAATCTGGCTAGCGCCAGCAAAGCTACAAATTCCCACCAGAGCAAGAATGCATTTTTGGGGATCCCAGGAAAGGTACAGTCCTATTAAGAGTGTAATCAAGAGAGGGCAAAGCTACAGTGTAAGGTGGTGTCTCAGAGAAGGACTAAAACATCTCTGCACATGATGCCCTCTTGCTATGAGGCCTGTTAATTTAGTGGGTTTAGGCCTTGTCTACACTTAGAAGTTTTGCTGTTTTAACTGTAGTTAAGGCAGCAAACCCCCCGTAATGTAGATGCAGCTACACCACTGTAAAAGTACTTCTGGCAGTTAGTGGTATAGCTCATTTAGGTTTGGCAAAGTACCATATACCAGTATATCAGATCTACACTAGCGCTTTTATCAGCGTAACTACACTGGTTAAAAAAAAAACAAAAAACACAAAACGGCATGCCTTGGTCTGAATGCTGCTGTTACCAATCAGGTGGACAACAGAAGGTGGATTTTTGAGTTCTGTCCTTCATCAAAACCTGCTATCCATTCTAGAGCAGTGGTTTTCAAACTGTGGGTCACGATCCAGTACTCGCAAAAAGAAAAGGAGTACCCGTGGCACCTTAGAGACTAACAAATTTATCTGAGCATAAGCTTTTGTGAGCTACAGCTCACTTCATCCGATGCATTCAGTGGAAAAAACTTTCAACAATTTTCTTCAACTGGGTCGCCAGAAAAAAAGTCTGAAAACCACTGTTCTAGGCAGCTTTCCTGACCTGGAGAGCAGGCTTGTTTCACAGAGCAGGGTGATTTCGGGACTGTGGGTACACAGGCAGGCAGAACTTGGGGAGAAGGATGGCACTGAGGCTGAGGTACAGAATTAGGGGGTCGGAAACTCGGGTCTCCCAGTCCTGGGTGATTAGAAGAGCCCGAGTCTCTGGCTCCGGGCTGGAGGATACCCTGGCTCTGCCGGCCGGATGTCTGGGAAGCGCTGAGAGGAGCTAGCACCCTGGCTTTACCTCCAGGGGGCCTTCGCCTCTCTCCGTCCCCCTCGGGCTCTGCTCCCGAGCCGGAGGATCCCGCACCCCAGCCGGGCGCACCCAGCCACGTTTCCCGGGAACCGCATCCACCCCGGCAGCCCCCGTGCCCCTCAGTGGGGGCTGGCCTGGCTCCTCGGGGGTCACCCGGTTCCGTTGGCTCCCTCGGCAGCGCCTGGTCCCCGCCGCTCTCGCAGGCAGACCGCTGGGCTGGATGGACCCAGCCTGGCTGGGCATGGAGCCGCCTCCACCAGCCCGCCCCAGGCCCGCGAGCTCCCAGCCTTGCCGGGCTGGCGCGTCCCGCCCCCTCCGCGCACGGGGCCCGATCGAGGGCGGCCGCGGCCCCGCTTACCGGCCGGTTCCCCGGTACCCGGCGGCGAGCCCCGGCCCAGCGCCGCCAGCAGCAGCAGGATCAGGGCGCCCAGGAACAGCGAGACCGCGATCAGCGCCTCCGCCGCCTCCATCTTCCCGCCACCGCCACCTCAGCGCGCGGGACCGAGCACGGCGCGGCAGCAACGCGCACGCTGAGGCCACGCCGGGGGCATTGCGATCCAATGGGCAGGAAACAACCCGCGCACGCGCAGTTCCCGCATAGTCTGGAAAGAGGCTGTCATCACCAGCGGTTGTTTGTACGCCTGCGCGGAGAGGCTACTGTGGGATGAGCCACTCCTCCGGACAAAGCGACCCGTGCCGAAGGAGGGCTGCACTGCACCCAGTCCCCTTTGGGCATGCGCTCTGGAGGCAACGGGGGGACGCTTGGTGCGTGGCAAGGGGCCTGTGAGGGGCGAAGGCTGGAAACGGGGGTTCGGATACCAGCTCCGCCGCAGACTTCTGTGTGACCCTGGCAGGGTCTGTCCCACATCTGCACCGGCGGGGAAGGGTGTCGTGTGGTTCTTGGTAGCAGTGCCCTGCGCCCTTCCCTCACCCTCCTACACATCACCCTCCCCAGGAGGCTGGTTCCATTAGCCTTGTTTGGCAGATGGGGAAACTGAGGCACAAAATGATGACATGACCCACCACGACTAGAACCCAGCACCCCTGTGTGCCAGACCAGTACCACCCTGGGCCACCAGAGCCGCTCTCCTACCTGCTGTTTTCTAGCTTCATGCCCTTCCCTCTGTGCACAGAGACAGTGGTAAAAACTTCAAACCCACTGTGACGTTGCACTCCATATGTTTTATGGAAATATGTTTATGTGTGAATATAATGTAACTGGAATATGCTTTATGCAAAAGGTCTTTTGTAAGGTATCATTACAAAGCTTATAATCTACTAAGTGTTTTCATCCTATTTGTATGAATGTATCATTCTTGTATCTAAAGCTAGAAATATGAAGTATTACTCTGAAGTCCTATTGTAACTATGCAAAGCGTGGGCCATTAATGCTGGTTTAGGATCTTGATGACTGCCATTGACTAGGAAAATTGGTTGTGAATGGGTTTATTTACCTGCAAGCCTTCCTGTGTACCTGACATGTGTAATGAAAAGTGAGGTCCACATGATATTGGAATCCATCTTAAACCTGGTGCTTTTCCATTTAGAAGGAGGGGTGGGGACCCAGAAAGACCAAGGATTCCTGCCTTGTGCCAAAGCTATAAAGGGGGTGGAGCAGGACAAAGCGGTCCCAGTCATGAAAAAGCCCCTGCTTTTCACCTAAGATGCCTGCTGGAACTAACAAGGACTGTACCAGGGGAAAGGATTAGGCCCAGACTAGGAAGGAGTCTGGTCTGTGAAAGAAAGTAATTGGAAAATCTCTGAGGGTGAGATTTACCTGTATTCAGTTTCTTAATGTAGACGCAAAAAGAAAAGGAGTACTTGTGGCACCTTAAAGACTAACCAATATATTTGAGCGTAAGCTTTCATGAGCTACAACTCACTTCATCGGATGTAGACGCTTAGACTTGCGTGTTTTTGCTTTATTTTGCTTCGTGATTTACTTTGTTCTGTCTGTTATCATTTGAAACCACTTAAATCCTACTTTTTATACTTAATAAAATCACTTTTGTTTATTAACAAACCCAGAGTGATTAATACCTGGCGGCGCAAACAGCTGTGCATATCTCTCTATCAGTGTTATAGAGGGTGGACAATTCATGAGTTTACCCTGAATAAGCTTTATACAGAGTAAAACAGATTTATTTGGGGTTTGGATCCTACTGGGAACTGGGTGTCTGGGTGCTGGAGATAGGTAACCTGCTGAGTGGTTTTCAATTAAAGCCTGCAGCTTTGGGGACGTGGTTCAGATCTGGGTCTGTGTTGCAACAGGGTAGCGTGTCTTGCTCAACAAGGCAGGATTCTGGAGAGTCCCCAGCCATCAGGGAAAATGGGTTCAGAGGTAATTTCATTATGTCAGGTGACAGTCCCACACGGGGTCTCTGTGACCGAGCCCATCACACCCACCCCGGGCTGTTCTCAGGAGACGCCGTGGGGAAACACCAACCCTGTAGGCAGCAATGCCAAGCAAGGGGAGCTCTGGGGGCTCCAGCATGGGGGTGGTGAGTGTGGGAAGGAGGCATGGGGAGGAAAAGGCACAGTCCAGGAAGGAGAGTGCAGGGGTGCATCACTACTGGCAGAAATGGCTCTGGTCTGGTGAGTGGCTTCCCTATCCTACTGCCCCGCGTGTGCCCTGCGTCCCTAGCTCCTCCTCTCCCAGAGCTATTATTATTCCCTGTAGTTGGACTTTCTCCTAATTTGTGATTCTTTTGCACCTTATATAATATGGGAGCATTTCCCCTGCTTCTTACACAGGTTGTGGCTCTAGCTCTTGGACCAGCAGGTCATATGCAGGCACAGTGTGCTCTTGTTGCCAAGAAAGCCTGTGGCATTTTGGGATGTATAAGTAGGGGCATTGCCAGCAGATCGAGGGATGTGATCGTTCCCCTCTATTCGACACTGGTGAGGCCTCATCTGGAGTACTGTGTCCAGTTTTGGGCCCCACATTACAAGAAGGATGTGGAAAAATTGAAAAGAGTCCAGCGGAGGGCAACAAAAATGATTAGGGGACTGGAACACATGACTTATGAGGAGAGGCTGAGGGAACTGGGATTGTTTAGTCTGCGGAAGAGAAGAATGAGGGGGGATTTGATAGCTGCTTTCAACTACCTGAAAGGGGGTTCCAAAGAGGATATGATCTAGACTGTTCTCAGTGGTAGCTGATGACAGAACAAGGAGTAATGGTCTCAAATTGCAGTGGGGGAGATTTAGGTTGGATATTAGGAAAAACTTTTTCACTAGGAGGGTGGTGAAACACTGGAATGTGTTACCTAGGGAGGTGGTGGAATCTCCTTCCTTAGAAGTTTTTAAGGTCAGGCTTGACAAAGCTCTGGCTGGGATGATTTAGTTGGTGTTGGTCCTGCTTTGAGCAGGGGGTTGGACTAGATGACCTCCTGAGGTCCCTTCCAACCCTGATATTCTATGATTCTATGACAGCAGATGGAGACACCTGCATAGTCATAAGCACCTGAAATCTGCCTGGGGCTGGTGCAGGGTTACTCTGCACGCTCCTTTGCAAATCATCTATTCACAGTATGTTCCACTTGGAGTATTACAAAGCCCAGGGAAAGCCTTTGTTGCGGGCTTTTGGCAGCAGGAGCCCCGTTGCTCAGTTCTGTGTATTTTTCCAGAGGCAGCAACAGGGTGAGAAATGCTGAAAAACTTAAGAAACACACCACCAAAATGGGAAGGAACAAAGTCTCTTTATCACAAAGGATCTGCCATTGCTTACAGAGCCAGGGCATGCAGCATGGGATATAGGAACAGGACATTCCTTTGGCAACATGACATCAAACAACATTCATGGGAAAACTCCTGCATTCTAGAACATCCTAAAATTAAAAGACAAAGAACCTTTGCTTGGGAAACACCCATGAAGGGGAAATCCAGCAGCTGCCTTTGAGCTACTGTTCCAGACATGAGAGACAAGAAGACACGTTGCTCACATTACAGCGAAAGGAGCGAAAGAGCAACAAAATGCAGCAGGAGACAACCGAGCAGCCCAATTAGTCAGCTTAGCACAACAACAATATGACCAAGAGCTTTCTGTTGATTTGTACAGTATTCTCCACTCCAGAAGCCAGCTTCTGAGTTCGAATTGGACTGAAAGGGAGGTGGGGATTGACCAGATGTGACCAGAACAACCACTGCTTAGAATTTAACACCCACCAGCCAGAGTCGCTCAGACCTAGTGTGGACATGGGAGCTATTAACAATGGGCCGGAGACTAAAGCAAACACACACAGACTCTGGATAGAGTTGGTTATCCAGAGTCTAGGCCCTCCCATACTGAATGGAAGCAGCCATATTTGTGAAGATAAGGCTTGGGCAATGAGAGATGCTGACCTTCTCATGGGGCATCCTCCATGGAACCACAAAGAACTTCATGCACTAGCCTCATCATCAGCAACTCTCCAGGGGCCCTTCCATCCCTAGGGCCAGTGGGGGATGAGGCACTAGCATCTTGCTGCTGAGGTGGGCTTTTCTGCAGCTCTTGTGGTCTCTCTGTCCCTTGATCTCTGGGGATGCAGTACCAGGTTCCATTGCTTGCTTCAGAAGGCGAGGCTTCAGGAAGACTGAAGGCCCAAATCTTTCTCCTCAGGAACCAGAGGCAGCCGAGTAATTCCCTCCCATGGTCAGCGGTTGCTGCCTCTAGAGCTGAGCAGTGAGTAGGGGAAGGTGCTCTCCTCTCAGTGGGCACCCTGGGCTCCTCTGAGCTCCTTGGGGCCCTGCTCTCACTGGTCATCATCCTAGCTTGTCGCTCCAAAACTGCAGCCAAGACCTGGTGTTCTCACTAATCTCAAACAGTTCCTTGGGAGTACAGGATGTTGCCAGGGCACTCCATCAGGCAGTGTTCAAATGTTTGCCTAAGCTCTCCACGTTCACATCTGGGGTTGTCCCTCAGCTTCCACTTGGTGATAGTCACCAGCCTTTGCCACTCCACCTCTTGTTCAAGTTAGAGTACACCAGTGTTTTTGTTCGAAGTCAGCACCTGGAGGGAGTTGTTGTGAAGGAACCAGGTTCTCCAAGATCGTCAGCATTTCCCATCATTTTGTTACTCTGTAGCCTTGCACGGTGCTATTTTCAGGTAAGGGATTTTCCGAGGGAAAGTTCTTCTGGACGTCAGCATCTTGGGTGGTGGAACGTGTCCATGCAGCAGGTGTCCTGGATCATGCACTGATTTTGTCTCTCCTTTTGCTGATGGCCTCCCGCCGCATGGATGGGGGTGCAGTCCCCGGGAGACAGGATGGCAATGGCGGGACCAAGACTGCAATAGGAGACTCTTGCTGGTGAAGGTGAATGGTTGTTCTGCAGAAATGAAGCATCTTACCATGTGTGAAGGGCCCCTCCCTTGTAACTAGGAGGAGTTGTTGCTGCGGTCTGTCCCCATCACTGCCTGGGTGGCCTGCTCGGGTACACATGCCGGGTCGGTCAGGATGGAGGTGGAAATGCTCAGCTGGCGGAGAGAGCTCAGGACAGCTGCGGAGACCAAACCAAATGGGACAAGTCAGTGTTCTCTGCTGATAGGCTCTGAGCTGCTTCAGGCAGTCTGTCTACTCACCACAGGGCCCGCCATGCCAGCCATCTAGCCCATATCCCAGCTCTCACACTGGCCTGGGCCAACTGCTGCACAGGAAGATCCCTGTTAATGGGCAGCTATGGCATAACCTGTCCCATGGGAGGTGTCCTCCCAACCCCTGGCAGGGCTTAAATCCTGTCCCATGTACTCATGGCTCTTCTCATTATCTGCACCTTTGTCCAATCCCCTAATTGAATCCTGCTAAGCTTGACCTTGGGGAGCTCATGTGGAAGGGAATTCCACAGGCTAATTGTGTGATGTGAAAAGTATTGCTCCTCCCTCTGGGTTTGCAATGTGCAGCCTTTCCCTTTGCCCGCAGTATGAGACTGGAAAACCATTGATGTCTCTGTGCCATAGCTGCAGACCAGGAGACTGTACATCCAACAAGCCAGTCTTCCCTTCCCATCCTTCCAATCCTGACCTTGCTCCCGGAACCACATCCCAGTGTGGCGGGTCCCTGCCGCTGAACCCCAGCTAGAGTAGAGATTGAACCTCCCTCTGACCAAGCTCAGGAGCCGGAGAACCAGGGCCGAATGGAGCTAGGAAGTGAATCCCTTGCTGACCCCAAGGAAGGGGGGAAGAGCACTGCCAGAGCAGCTTTGGGCAGCCCCAGAGCTGGCCCTGAGAGCACCATGCCTCCAAGACAGCATCCCCCCCTCCATGCAAGCACAGCCCCCTCACGTCCCCCTCACAGTGCAGTTCTTCTGACCACGGCACTTAGCCGACCTCCCACCCAGCTCAGGCACGAACAGCAGGGGTTGCAAGCTAGGAGCAGATGGCAGGCAGGGCCAGCCCCTGCCTTCTCCAGGGCAGGCAAGGGACAAAGTGGGACTACGTACTGGGCCGAAGTGCTGGGAGGGAGCAATACTGGTCCAGCCAGGCTAGTGATGTCTGGCTGAGGCTGTCCATGCTGGCTGTGGAGACCATGCCATTGAAGGACTCAAACAGAGGCCGGATGATGATGCTGAACTGATGCAAACATAGCAGTTAAGGACTCCCCATCACAAGGCAGAACTGACTGACCAGCCTTCATGTCCCTCCCTCTGCTGCTGCCCCTTTCCTGCTGACTCCTGGCACTTGGGGAGTGACATGGCAGGCTGCAGAGTTAGTGCCACCCCGTGTGGTGCCAGACCAGGCCAAGGCTCATCTTGGGGGCAGGAACATGAGCTCTAAGCCCACAGCATCCTGCTGGGAACAAGAACAGGTGTCCTGAGACCAACACCGGGGGGGTGAACTACAGGGGATGTGGATACCAAGAGTGGGGTGGGGGGGTCAGGTGATACCCTGTACCCCATGTTCACCACTTGTGTTCTGATACATTTTGTACAAAACATGTAGTGCAAGGTATCATTTGAAAACTCAGGATCTACTGACTATCGCTGGGCTGTTAAAATGCGTATCGTCATTGTGGAGCGAGGCATGAGATTTTGCTATATGTTTGTTACTGAAAAACACTGTGAGTCTGAAGAATGCCCACAGACTAGGTCCTTCAAAATAACGAAAGGGCTGTAAACAAAGGCCTTGCATGTCATCCCTGAAGACACTTCAAACGTCAAGAACACAGATGGTGTCAGCAAGAAATTTATAATTTACCTGAAAGGGGCTTCAAATCTCATGTACACCAGAGTGATGGTCTGCACCCCAGCTGGGGGTGGGTGTTCCTCACAGAGAGGAGGAGGGTATAAAATAAGACAATGGCTTCCCCATTACCTTTCCTCTCTCACCTCCGCACATGGAAGCCAGATCGTTTGAAAGAGCGAGAGGGATCATTGAAGGGCGAAGGGGTCATAGGCACCAACTCCCTGGGTGCTCTGGGGCTGGAGCAGTGACGAGTCAGCCCCTCTACCAGAACCACCCACCCCAGCGCCTCCCACCCACCGCCCGCCCGGCCTGTCCCTCAGCGCCTCCCGCCCTCCCAGGCCTCCCGCCCGCCGGTCCCTCAGCGTCTCCCGCCCCCTCCCAGGCCTCCCGCCCGGTCCCTCAGCGTCTCCCGCCCCCTCCCAGGCCTCCCGCCCGCGGCGGCCTGTCCTCGGCGTCTCCCGCCCCTCCCAGGCCTCCCGCCCGCCGGCCGGCCTGTCCCTCGGCGTCTCCCGCCCCCTCCCAGGCCTCCCGCCCGCCGGCCGGCCTGTCCCTCGGCGCCTCCCGCCCGCCGGCCGGCCTGTCCCTCGGCGTCTCCCGCCCCCTCCCAGGCCTCCCGCCCGCCGGCCGGCCTGTCCCTCGGCGTCTCCCGCCCCCTCCCAGGCCTCCCGCCCGGTCCCTCAGCGTCTCCCGCCCCCTCCCAGGCCTCCCGCCCGGTCCCTCAGCGTCTCCCGCCCCCTCCCAGGCCTCCCGCCCGCCGGCCGGCCTGTCCCTCGGCGCCTCCCGCCCCCTCCCAGGCCTCCCGCCCGCCGGCCGGCCTGTCCCTCGGCGTCTCCCGCCCCCTCCCAGGCCTCCCGCCCGCCGGCCGGCCTGTCCCTCGGCGTCTCCCGCCCCCTCCCAGGCCTCCCGCCCGCCGGCCGGCCTGTCCCTCGGCGTCTCCCGCCCGCCGCGGATCAGCTGTTGGGCGGCGTCAGACTCCGCAGGCGTGGGGGGGGAAGCGCAGCAGCGTTGGGGGCGGGTGGAACTGGGCACAGGCGGCAACTTTTTTCTGCGCCAGTGGGTGCTCGCCCTGCCCCCGCCCCCCCGCTGTCCCTATTGGACCCCTCCCCCAATCCCCGCCCCGGCCCCGCCTCCTCCCCCGAGCCTGCCGCGTTCCTCCTCCCAGGCGTGCCGCGCGCTCGGGGGAGGGGGCAGAGGTGAGCTGGGCGGGGGGGAGCTCAGCACCCACCAATTTTTCCCCCGGGTGCTCCAGCCCCCGAGCACCCACGGAGTCGGCGCCGAGGGAACTGGGTGGGGTGAGGGCAGGAAGCGATGGGGCGGGCCAGAGGCGGGAAGAAGCAGGGCGGGGGTGGAGCCTTGGGGGAAGGATTAGGAGGGGGGGGCCTGGGCGGAGCCAGCGAGAGCACCCCCCCGCAGATTAGAAACTGGGCGCCCCTGGCAGGATTGTCCCAGGCTGAGAGGAAGCAGCCTGTGAAATGTGTCGCAGTTTACGGTGGGACACGCGGCTTTGCTTTTAGCTCTCTTGGCAGGGCCGGATTAAGGCAGGGGCTTAGGGGCCCTGCAGGCAGATGCGGCCGCTGCTTCTTCCATTCGGCCCGCGGGAAGTCTGCGCGCTGGCTGCAGCCGCGAGCACCCACTCATCGCTACGTCCGTGCGGCCCCTAAGCGAGGGGCGTCCGGGGAATCTCTGCGCGCTGCCCCCGCCGCCAGCACTGGCTCCGCAGCTCCCACTGGCCTGGTACCGCAGCCAAGGGGAGCTGCGTGGGGCGCCAGCGGGCACGGGCAGCGTGCACTGTGCAGAGTGGCCTGGCCACCTCTGCAAAGGGACCAGACATGCCGGACATCTCGGGAAGCAGAGCAGCGCGGAGCCCGGACGGGCAGGGATCCTGCCTTAGCCCTGCTGCAATGCTGACCAGGAGCTGCCCAAACTAAGCGCCTCCCGGCCAGAGCCTAGATCCCACACCCCATCCTGCAGCCCAACCTCCTACCCCAGCCTGGAACCCCCGCCTGCACCCAAACTCCCTCCCAGAACCTGCACCATGAACCTCCTGCTGAACCCCAACCCCCATCCCATCCCTGGCTCCACTCCAGAGCCCACCCCCATTAGAGCTGCACCCCAACCCCCTGCCCCAGCCCTGAGCCCACTCCCCCACTCCAAACCCCCAGGGGCCCCACAAAATCTAATAGCCCCGGGCCCACAGGAGGATTAATCCAGTCCTGACTATTAGCTTACATTGGTCAAGGGGGTCTTGAGCAGTGCGAGATGCACATTTCTGAGGTGCAACGCTGGGGCTGGGGGATTTGCGGATGTCATCCTATATACAGTTAATGAGTGGCTGTGAGAGCATTCATGTAATTTGCTGGGTGTGCCTTCACATGCTTTTGGCTGTGTGAGTAGAGCCTGGATGGGCTGCTTTTCATCAGCAGAGCAGTGTAAGAGACACCCTGGGCTGGAGCAGTAAGGGCCTCATCCTCCCTGATTGAACTAACCTTGTTATCCCTAGCCTGATTCTTGCTTGCATATTTACACCTGCCTCTGGGAATTTCCACTACATGCATCCGACGAAGAGGGTATTCACCCACGAAATACGTCCAATACGTCTGTTAGTCTATAAGGTGCCACAGGACTCTGCAGCTTTTAAGGGGACACTGCTGTTCAAAAGTCCAGCTTGGACCCTAGGTGATGTCACTGGGGCTGCAGAGGGGATCTGGAGACTAGCATAGGGGAGTGGGCTTCAAAGTCTTGAAAACCTCCAGATGGCTCCAGGGAGCAGGCTGATACCTGTGGTCCCGGTGCATGAGCGGGGCATAGAAGCCAGGGACTCAGAGCCATTTTCTAACACCCAGACTCTAGCAGGCACAGGGAACACAGGGCCCTGGTGTCTCCCCTCTAGAAGTGATGGAAGAGGGGAGGAGCTGTGAGGTGTCTGCCTCCAGGAGGCTGTCACCATGGTAACATCTTTGGCCCTCCTCAGCACCCTAAGAAGCTGCAGGGACCCCACATGTTTGGGCAGGGGGCAGCGGGGTGGGGCGCCCATCTCCAAAGGATACAACCCAGAACTTCCAGTTCTTCAGTGTGCAGGAGCGGACGTACTCGTCAAACATGTCACGCATCTGGTCGAAGCGCTGGCGGGTGATGGGCACTCCTGTAGCAGGCAGCTGCTGCTGGCACAGGCTGCAGGGGCACAAGAAGATGGTGCCTGTCTGCCTCGGTTGACAGGCACACACACAGAGAGATCGGCACTGGGGAGAACAGTCAACGTCCCGCCCCCAGGCCTAGCTCTCCAGCCACCCTCACCCCCTGCTGTGCTCCAGCCTCGTCCAGGAAGGATGCTGTGGCAGGGAGCGATTGACTGGCACCGTGCCCTAGGCATGGCCGAGCTGATCACCAGCGATTAGCAATTCCATGGCTGATGGTCACCTGGGGAAAGCCCCACTTCTGAGATGTGTCAGCAAGAAGTGGTGGTGGGCAGCACCCCCATTCCTGTGGCAGCAGGCGGCTCCTGCCCACCTCCCCGTGCACTTTCACCCGCTGAGGGCTGCCCCATACTGATGGCCATGCCAGGCTCTCTAAGAGGTGCCAGGCTCCTGGTGCCACCCTCCACCTGGCCATGGGGGACAGGGCTATGGGGGTGGGGAGAGGGGGCTAATGCTTGCATCCGGGTGAAGCTGGCTGGGGCCCACCCATTGCTCCCCTTCCTGTACCTGCCTGTGCACAGCATCCTGCTCTCATCCTGCCCCTGGTACCTGGGGCCCACTGGGGTGGGCTGGTCAGGCTCTTCGGTTCCCCTCGGGGGGGGGGGGGTGATCCTTCCCAAGGCCCCTGTGTGTGGGCTCCAGGTTCTGCCCCTCTCTGGAAGGGCTGGCTCCCAGGGCCGTAGCAGAGGCAGCACCAAGCCCATTTCCTGCAGCCCCAGCCTCCCAGCATGACTACGTGGGGCATTTACAATCAAACCGGAGCGAATGAATTGTGGAGAGAGGAGCTGGGGCTTTATGGGAGCTGTGCCCACACAGGCTAATCCACCCCGCATTGGCACCATGGCAGGTTGAGTGCTTCAGGGAAGGGGGCAGCGCACCTTGGCTCCATTAATAATAACCCTGCATTGCTGGGGCACTCTCCATCTCCGGGCCCCAAAATGCATTACAAACATAGTGGGAAACCTCCTCCCACATGACTGATGTGCCACCGCTTCTGGGGTGGAACACAGCAGCTGCTGATAGCACACACAGCACAGCAACACTGCACCGCCAGCTTCACAGGAAGGGCCCCCTTTTAGATGTGACATCTCATTCAGCAGACAGCAGCCTAGTACCCCTTTGCATCATGCTAGGGGATTAAGTTCAGCACTGACAAGGGAAGAGCACCCCCGATTGAGTGGTCACCCTTTGCAGCACACTCCTTGTCCGCTCCCCTCCCCAGCTTGGCTCCCTGCCCGTCTCTGCCCTTCCCGTCCCTTGGCCTGGCTCCCCTCCCTTCTCCCCCTATCCTACTTGATGGTTGTGTTGAGCTCCTCGATCTGCTCCCGCAACCGCTGCGTCTCATCCTGCAGGGCAGCCCTCTCCTGCTGCAACTTGTAGATGTACTCTGCTGTCTTCTGCAGCGTGGTGGCCTTGCTGACCTGAGGGGCCAGATGTGGGGGCTGAGTGACGCTGATCTCCTGTGGCTGTCTCTCAGCCCCCTCCCACCGCTCTGCCTCCCAGGAGGAAGGAGCTGCCCAGCAGGGTGCTGGGCCTTTCAGGGTTTTGGAGAGACATGGCCTCGCTCAGCCACCCCACAGGGTCTCCGAGACCTAGGTGGTTGGACAGCACAGAAAGCCCCATTCCATGATGGGAGGGCCAAGGGACAGTCTATAGCTGGGGAAAGGTGCTGAGGGGAGCGGTTGGCTGGGGGCCTAGAGCTGCAGGGACACACAAGAGCTGCCTGGCCAGGGCAAAGCTGAATCACTGATGCAGCCCGAGCCTGGCACTCCCACTCCCAGCTCTGGGGACTCTCCTGGGGGTCTGGGGCACCGCAATTATGAGAGGTTTGGTACTTTGGGCACTGGGTGTCCCCTGGGGAGCTGCCAGTCCTGCCCTCAGTGCCCACTTTGGGGTTTGATCCCCTCTCACTCACCTTGATGCTAGGCTGGGCACTCAAGGTGCTCACCAGCCCGTGGAGGGTGTCAAAGCCCAGCTTGATGTTGAAGCGTCTCTTCTGCTCGGCGGAGATGTGCGTGATGCGGCGGCTCTCTGTCTGCAGGGCAGGGGCAGAATCAGGCACCCCAAGGGGTGTGGGGGAGACCCCCAGAACCCCCAACCTGAGCCAAGGCCAGGACAGACCCATAGATGTTGCAACAGGGGGAGCGGGTGCGATGTGATGGGAGCACAAGGGATGTGAAGCAGGGCAATCTGGAGCCCTGAAGGGGCGGGGAGGAGAGGGCTGTGCCTGTCTGGTGGGCAGAGAGGAGACACCCCCAGGGAGGGGCTGTCCCCCTGGGAGCCCTGGACTGTTGTGTACCTTGCTGGACTCCGGCCTGCCCTGGCTGGGGGTGGAGTGATGCGGTGAGATCCTGGCAGTCAGCACTCCGACTGGCACCGGGGAGACTCGTCCAGGCTTCGGCCAGTCACTGGCTGGAAGATAAAACGAGACTGTTGGGCGGGGCTGAGTGGGCAGCGCCTACTGGCTCCAGGACCTGCCCCAGTGCAGGGACTGAGATGGGGGCATGACTGCCTAGGCTGGGTCCTGCGAGCCTCCCGCACAGGCAGGCTCAGGGTCCCGTCCCACTGCGCAACAGAGACAGAAGGACAGGTGCCCTGGAGAAGACCGAGAGCCCCACTGGTGCAGCAGCCCGGCACTGACTGGCCAATGCCAGAGGCTTCAGGGAAAGGGATCACCTCCCCATAATGCACCACACTGAGCAAGGTGGAGCTGGGGATGGGAGGCATTGCTTCCTGACCACGCAGTGATAGAGCAGTCTGTGCCCTGAAGCAAGGAGATGATGGCCCTTGACACTGATCCCAGACACTGTCCCTGCCAATCCTAGCCTCACTCAAGTCACAGTCTAATCACTGCTGAATCTCACAAAGCCATGCGCCTGCATAATGTGCTGCAGCAGTGAGTCCCACAGATTATACACTGCATCCAAAGAAAGGAGTCATTCTATCCATTCTATGGTGCCTCCTAGGTTCACCATGAGTCCCCATGTTCCCATATTGGGGTGTGTGTGAATTCATTCCTCTCTCCATACCTCTGTCAAAGCTCCCTGTGCTCCTTTCTGATCCCAACAGGCCTTGTCTTTGACATGCTAACAGCACCGTATCCATCGGTAGTGCTTTCCATCAGAGGAACCTCAGTGCTTTTACCAACTCTTCTCAGTCCCACCAGGAGGCAGGCATGAGCTATTCTCATTAGACAAGTTAAGTGATTTGCCCAAGTTCACACAGCAGGTCAGTAGCAGAGCCGGGAGAGATCCTACAAGCTCTGATGCTAACCAGTAGTGGTGCCCCTAGTACTTTTCATTGCCCCTTTCTGTCCTCGCTGTGATGGGTGATCCATTGTGGGCACAGGAACCCAGCAGGGGTGGGAGTGGGAAGATCACCACGAATTTCAGAGCTGCTTGAAAAATGCCTGTTATGTTCCCTGAGAAATTTTGAACTTTTGGGGGGTTTTTCCCCCAAAACTTTCAGCAAAAAATGTGGATTTTCAAAGAAAACCTGAAACCACCTAAAAAGGTTTGTTTTAAAAAATAACATTTCAGGCAAACGTTTTTGGTTTTTGAAAACTAAACATTGAATTACTTTTTCCAAAAAAACATACATTTTAACTCAAGTTGATATTTTTACTGAAAGAATAGTGATTTCTTTTTTTTTTTCCATTGTAAAAGCAGAACCTTTCAAGCAGAAGGAAGAGTTACTGCAAACATTTTCCATTTGGTGAAAGGCATATTTTTGCAGAAAAAATATTGAGAAAAAGACTCCAACCAGCTGCCCTGGGTTGCCCTGTTGGCGACCGACCCTCCAGCATTTTGCACCAGTTCCCCCTGGAACTGCCCACTGACCTTGCATGCAGTTGCCCACCAGGACCCTGTCAACTAAGTCAAGCTGATTCAAGTTGTCTGCATGGTTCTGCCACTCTAGGGCAGCAGTATGGCAGCAAGGCTGGCTCTGGTGTCGTGTCCCTGGTGTGGCTCTGTGTCCTGGCTTTTCTGGGTCTCTCTTTTCTCACCTGCCTGCCTAGTCTCTGCTAACCCCAATCTCTCTGTATTGTCAACACCCACCCATCCATCTCCTGGGTTAATAAACAGAACTGAGGGGTGGGGTGGATCTTCAAGAGGATCTCAGGGGGGCAGCACCAGCAACCTGCTCAGCTCTGACTCTGGCGATACAGGGGGGAGCCTTCTTCAGCTGGATTTCCCCCACTGAAAGGTTGCTGAGCCTGCATGACCTACAGGGGTGTTTGCTCTTTCTGGTAATCAAAGAGAAGTTGTCAAAGACGCCGCACTGCTCACCACAGGCCGACGGGGGGGAGAGCTGCTCCGTCTTGGGGACGAGCAGGGATCCCGGCTGTGCCACAGCCAGTATGATGGGGACAGACTGGGAAGGGCTGGAGCCAGGAGACAGCCCTGGACTCAGCTGGGCCATGCGGGGCAGGAAGTCAGAGGGGACTTCGGCAAGGCCCCCTTCCTGCGAAGAGAGAAGCCAGAGAGAAGGAGTTTGCACTTTGGGCTCCCTGGCTGAAAGTCTCAGGCCTGCGACCCACAAGGCCAAGGGCGAAAAGGGGCCAGGGCTTTTCCCCAACCAGCACACAGGAGACAGTCTTTGAAGTACCTACAGCAGCTTGACTCTTGTAGATAAGGAGAGCTGGTCACTGCCCGTGAGGCTCATGGTCAAACTAGACCTACTCCATGAAGGGGATGGCGAGAAGGAAGGGCCCCCAACTCCTCACAAGGTTACAGCAACATGGCATGAGCCCTGGGGCTCCCAGGGACTGGACAAAGATCAGGCCTTGAGAACCCCATGGTCGGAAAGCTGACTGTGTGGTGGGCTGGTGGTTGGGCACTGCATAACTGGTGCTGCTGGGGGAGCCCTCTCCAGGGGAGCAGCGCCATGTGAGACGGCCCCCATGGGCGGCCAAGGGACCCTTTGCCAGCCCTGAGCCAGGCAGGGGGAAATGGGATTTTCTTTAACCTGAGGAAATGCTCTCCACTTGGAAATACAGGGCATAAAATACCATCCTGAGTGCCCCCTGAGCTCTGCCAGTGCCCCTCACTCCTGGGCTGGTACACCCCGGGTTTGTCCAGTCCCCAGTGCCCCCCCAGCTCTGCTGATACCCCTCGCTCCTGCCCTGACACACCCCATGCTTGTCCATCCCCAATGTCCCCCCAGCTCTGTCAATGCCCCTCACTCTTGCCCTGACCCACCCCCTGCTTGTCCAGCCCCAATTCCCCCCAGCTCCACCAATGCCCCTCGCTCCTGCCCTGATGGTGTCACCGGGCACTTTGGTTTCCTCGATCATGGAATCCTGTTGTGAGGAGAAGGGCTGCTGAGCGGAGATGGGGGAAGAGTGTCTTCAGGTGCAGACTGGCTAAACTAGTGAGGGGGCTTTAAACTAGGTCCAACAGGGGTAGCAGACAAAAGCCCACAGGTAAATCTAGAACAAAGAGACTTGGGTGAAGCATCTGAATCTGGGGGGGAACATGGGAAATCACAGCATGGACAAAGGAGAGACCAGAGGGAATATAGAGGGGAAATGTAATAAACGTCCATTGTCTGTATACTAATGCAAGAAGTATGGGGAATAAACAGGAAGAACTAGAAATACTAGTGAGTAATCATAAATAGAACAGAACTGGCATCACAGAAACTTGGTGGCATTAGTCACATGACTGGAATACTGGTATAGAAGGGTACAGCTTGTTCAGGAAGGCCAGGCAGGAGAGGAGTAGTTGCCTTGTATATCAAAGATATCTACACTTGCCCTGAGACTGAGACAACAGTGGGAGGCAGACCTGTTGAAAGTCTCTGAGAAAGGATAAAAGGGGTAAAAAACAAGGGTGATGTCATGGTGAGGAGTCTACCTGGAAGAAGAGGTGTATGACACTGTTTTTTAGACAACTAATAAAATCATCCAAAGCACAGGACTTGGTGGTGATGGGGGACTTCAGCTACTCAGATATCTGTTGGGAAAATAACACAGCAGGGCACAGATTATCCAATGGGTTCTTGGGATGCATTGGAGACAACTTTTTATTAGAGAAGGTGGAGAAAGCGACTAGGGGAGAGGCTGTTCTGGATTTGATTCTGACAAACAAGGAGGAACTAGCTGAGAATCTGAAGGTGGAAGGTAGCTTGGGTGAAGGTGACCATAAAATGACAGAGTTTGTGGTTCTAAGGCAGAGGTGGGCAAACTACGGCCCGTGGGCCACATCCGGCCCGCGGAACCCTCCTGCCCAGTTCCTGAGCTCCTGGCCCGGGTGGCTCGCCCCCGGCCCCTCCCCCGCTGTCCCCCCTCCCCCACAGCCTCAGCGCACTGTGCTGCCAGTGCGATGCTCCGGACGGGGGGGCTGCGAGCTCCTGGGGCAGCGCAGCTGCAGAGCCTGGCCTGACCCGGTCTCTGTGCCATGCAGCGCAGCTGCCTGACCCAGTCTCTGGGCTGTGCAGTGCGTGGCTGGCTGCAGCTGGGTACCGCGGCTGCCTGTCCTGGTGCAGCCACATCACCAGCCACCGGTGCTCCAGGCAGCATGGTAAGGGGGCAGGGAGTGGGGGAGGGGAGTTGGCTAGGGGGCAGGGGAGTTCGGGGTGGTGGTCAGGGGGCGGGGGTGTGAATAGGGGTCAGGGCTGTCAGAGGGCGGGGAACAGGGTGGTTGAATGGGGGCACAAGTCCTGGGGGTGGCAGTAAGAAAGGAAGGGGGGTTGGATGGGGCAGTCAGGGGCGGAGGTTCCAGGGACGGTCAAGGAGAAGGGGTGGTTGGATGGGGCAGGGGTCCTGGAGGGCAGTCAGGAAGGAGAGGGGAGTTGGATGGGGCGGCAGGGGGCAGTTAGGGGTGGGGGGTCTGGGGGCAGTCAGGGGACAGAGAGTGGGGGGTGGATGGGGCAGGGGTCCCCGGGGGGCCGTCAGGGAACAGGGGAGTTGGATGGGGCAGGAGTCCCAGGGGGCCGTCAGAGGGCAAGAAGCACAGGGGGTCGGATAGGGGGCGGGGGCCAGGCCATGCCTGGCTGTTTGGAGAGGCACAGCCTCTCCTAACCGGCACTCCATACAATTTCAAAAAAAGAAAAGGAGGACTTGTGGCACCTTAGCGACTAACCCATTTATTTGAGCATAAGCTTTCGTGAGCTACAGCTCACGTCATCGGATACATTCAGTGGAAAATGAATGATGAAATCATTAGTTAGTCTCTAAGGTGCCACAAGTACTCCTTTTCTTTTTGCGAATACAGACTAACACGGCTGCTACTCTGAAACCATACAATTTCAGAAACCCGATGTGGCCCTCAGGCCAAAAAGTTTGCCCGTCCCTGTTCTAAGGAATGGTAGGAGGGAGAACAGCTGAATAAAGACAATGGACTTCAAGAAGGCAGACTTTACCAGACTCAGAGAACTGGTAGGTAAGATCCCATGGGAAGCCAGTCTAAGAGAAAAAAGAGTTCAGGAGAGTTCGCCGTTTTTCAAAGGGACATCATTAAGGTCACAAGAGCAAACTATTCCACTGCGTAGGAAAGATAGGAAGTATGATTAAGAGGCCACCCTGGCTTAACCAGGAGATCTGCAATGACCTGAAACTCAAAAAAGTGTCATACAAGAAGTGGAAACTCGGTAAAATTACAAAGGATGAATATAAACAAACAACACAAGCATATAGGGACAACATTATAAAGGCCAAGAAAAAAAATAAGACTAAACTAGCTAGGGATATAAAGGGTAACAGGAAAGTATTTTACAAATACATGAGAAGCAACAGGAAGACCAGGGACAGGGTAGGCCCTTTATTAAATGAGGAAGGAAAGACAATAACAGAAAATGCAGCATTGGTTGAAGCGTTAAATGCCTTTTTATTTATAATGCATCCGATGAAGTGAGCTGTAGCTCACGAAAGCTTACGCTCAAATAAATTTGTTAGTCTCTAAGGTGCCACAAGTCCTCCTTTTCTTTTTGCGGATACAGACTAATATGGCTACTACTCTGAAACCTTTTTTATTTCAGTTTTCACCAAAAAAGTTAGCAATGATCAGACAACTAACATAGAGAACATCAGTGTAAATGGGGCAGGATCTGAGGCTAAAATAGGAAAAGAACAAGTTAAGAATTCCTTAGACAAGTTAGAAGTCTTCAAACTTGATGAAATACATCCTAGAATACTCAAAGAACTGACTGAAGAGATCTTTGAGCCATTAGCGATTATATTTGAGAACTCATGGAGGACGGGAGAGATCCCAGAGGACAGGAAAGGGCAAATATAGTATCTGTCTATAAAAAGGGGAATAAGAAAACCCAGGGAATCACAGATCAGTCAGTTTAACTTCTGTACCCGGAAAGATAATGGAGCAAATAATCAAACAATCAATTTGTTAAGCACCTAGAGGATAATAAGATGATAAGTAATAGTCAACATGGATTTGTCAAGAACAAATCATGTCAAACCAATATAATATCCTTCTTTGACATGGTAACAAGCCTTGTGGATGAGGGGAAATGATAGATGTGGTATATCTTGACTTTAGTAAGGCTTTTGATACTGTCTCACATGACCTCATAAACAAACTAGGGAAATACAACCTAGATGAACCTACTATAAGGTGGGTGCACAACTGGCTGCAAAACTGCACATAGAGAGTGGTTATCAATGGCTCACAATCAAGCTGGAAGGGCATATCGAGTGTGGTCCCACAAGGATCTGTCCTGGGTCTGGTTCTAATCAATATCTTTACCAATGATTGCATACAGAGTACACTTATAAAGTTTGCGAATGATACTAAACTGGGAGGTGTTGCAAGTGCTTTGGAGGGTAGGATTATAATTCAAAATGTTCTGGACAAACTGGAGAAATGATCTAAAGTAAATAGGAGGAAATTCAATAAGGACAAATGCAAAGTTCTCCACTTAGGAAGGAATAAACAACTGCACAAATACAAAATGGAAAATGACTGCCTAGGAAGGAGTACTGCAGAAAAGGATCTGGGGGTTATAGTGGATCACAAATTGAATATGGATCAACAATGTAATACTTGTTACAAAAAAAGCAAACATTATTCTGGGCTGTATTAACTGGAGTGTTGTAAGCAAGACACAGGAAATAATTATTTCACTCTACTCTGCATTGATTAGTCCTCAGCTGAAGTATTGTGTCCAGTTCTGAGCACCATACTTTGGGAAAGATGTGGACAAATTGGAGAAAGTCTAGAGAAGAGCAACAAAAATGACTAAAGGTCTAGAAAACATGACCTATGTTTAAGAAGGATGAATTCAAACTGGAACAGGTACAGAGAAGGGCTAGTAGGATGATCCGAGGAATGGAAAACTTGTCTTATGAAAGGAGACTCAAGGAGCTTGGCTTGTTTAGCCTAACTAAAAGAAGGTTGAGGGGAGATATGATTGCTCTCTATAAATATATCAGAGGGATAAATACCGGAGAGGGAGAGGAATTATTTAAGCTCAGTACCAATGTGGACACAAGAACAAATGGATATAAACTGGCCACCAGGAAATTTAGACTAGAAATTAGACGAAGGTTTCTAATCATCAGAGGAGTGAAGTTTTGGAATAGCCTTCCAAGGGAAGCAGTGGGGGCAAAAGATCTATCTGGCTTTAAGATTAAACTCAATAAGTTTATGGAGGAGATGGTATGATGGGATAAGATGGTTTTGGTAATTAAATATTCATGGTAAATAGGCCCAATGGTCTGTGATGGGATATTAGATGGGGTGGGATCCGAGTTACAAAGGAAAGAATTTTCTGTAGTATCTGGCTGATGAATCTTGCCCATATGCTCAGGATTTAGCTGATTGCCATATTTGGGGTGGGGAAGGCATTTTCTTCCAGGGCAGATTGGAAGAGGGCCTGGAGGTTTTTCGCCTTCCTCTGTAGCATGGGGCATGGGTCACTTGCTGGAGGATTCTCTGCTCCTTGAAGTCTTTAAACTACGATTTGAGGACTTCAATAGCACTGGTATAGGTGTGAGGTTTTTTGCAGGAGTGGTGGGTGAAATTCTGTGGCCTGCGTTGTGCAGGAGGTCAGACTAGATGATCATAATGGTCCCTTCTGACCTAAATATCTATGAATCTAAGATTGAAAAAATTGGGTTTGTTTAGTCTGGAGAAGAGAAGACTGGGGGGGGGGGGTGTACTGAGACAAGGTGGGCGAGGTAATATCCTTTATTGGACCAACTTCTGTTGGTGAGAGAGACAAGCTTTTGAGACCTGCAGAGCTCTTCTTCAGGTCTGGCAATGGGGGACATGATAACAGTCTTCAGGTACCTAAAAGGTTGTCATAAACAGGAGGGTGATAAATTGTTCTCCTTAGCCACTGAAGACAGGAAAAGAAGCAATAGGATTAAATTGCAGCAAGTGAGGATTAGGTTGGACACCAGGAAGAATTTCCTGAATGTCAGGGGGGTTAAGCACTGGAATAAATTGCCTAGGGAGGTTGTGGAATCTCCATCATTGGAGGTTTTAAGATCAGATTAGACAAACACCTGTCAGGGACAGTCAAGCTAATACTTAATCCTGCCTCAGTGCAGAGGACAGACTAGACAACATCTCAAGGTGCCTTCATGCCCTACATTTCTGTGATTTATGATCTGATGTCCCCCTTGTTCGCCCAGCCCAAATGTCCCCCAGCTCCACCAATGCTCCTTGCTCCTGCCCTGACCCACCCCCTCCTCATCCAGCCCCAATGCCCCCCCAGCTCTGCCAATGGCCCTCGCTCTTGCCCTGACACACACCCTGCTCATCCAGCCCCAATGCCCCCAGCTCTGCCAATGCCCCTCGCTCCTGCCCTGAGACACCCCCTGCTCATCCAGCTCCAATGCCCCCCATCTCCACCAGTGCCCCTCACTCCTGCCCTGACCGACCCCCGGCTCATCCAGCCCCAATGCCCCTCACTCCTGCCCTGACCCACCCCAGGCTCATCCAGCCCCAAAGCCCCCAGCTCTGCCAATGCCCCTCACTCCTGCCCTGACCCACCCCCCGGCTCATCCAGCTCCAATGCCCCCAGCTCTGCCAATGCCCCTCGCTCCTGCCTGAGACACCCCCTGCTCATCCAGCTCCAATGCCCCCCATCTCCACCAGTGCCCCTCACTCCTGCCCTGACACCCCCGGGTTCATCCAGCGCCAATGCCCCCAGCTCTGCCAATGCCCCTCACTCCTGCCCTGACACTCCCCTGTTCATCCAGCCCCAATGCCCCCCATCTCCACCAGTGCCCCTCACTCCTGCCCTGACCCACCCCCCGGCTCATCAAGCCCCAATGCCCCCAGCTCTGCCAATGCCCCTCACTTCTGCCCTGACCCACCCCCGGCTCATCCAGCCCCAATGCCCCCAGCTCTGCCAATGCCCCTCGCTCCTGCCCTGAGACACCCCCTGCTCATCCAGCTCCAATGCCCCCCAGCTCCACCAGTGCCCCTCACTCCTGCCCTGACACCCCCGGCTCATCCAGCTCTGTCTGTTGTTAGGACTGAGGCACACAGAAGCGACCATCTCACTGCAGTCCCCTGCCCATTGTTGCTTGCCAGAGCACATGTCTGAACCCAGCATGTGGCAGTGAAAGGCCGATGCCCTTGGCTGCCCAGCAGATGGTGTTGCTGGTGAGCTCTTACCGGGGAGGCCAGCGACATGAGGGTGGTACTGGGAGTGGAGGGAGGGTCCAGGGCCAGCTCTGGTTTAGCTGCAAGACAGAAGGCAGCAGACGGTGAGCATACAGAATGACAGCAAAGCCAGGCTGGGGCTCCCTGACGTCCCCTTCCACCAGAGTGAGCGGCCAGCATCAGGAAGCCTTGCAGGGAGATGCAGACTGACTCCTGCTGCCACCTCCTGGTTCTCAGGGTAGAGGGTCTGGGCCCAACAGCCCTAGGGAGGTGCTGCAGGGACTGACCAAGCCTGGGAAGTAGGGTAGGGCTGGAATGCAGATTCCAGCCTTTGTTTCTTTGCAAATCAAGCCAAACAGGGAAGGGGCAGGGGGCTGAGTGCTGACATGCCACAGCTGATCTAGACTGTGTTGACCTACTCACAGGTACTCCTGGGACCTGAGTACCTGGTGTTACAGAGACAGAGCTACAGGCCCAGGAAACTGCAGGATTTGTCAGTAGAATGAGGCACCACATCCAGGCAGGGCAGGGCTGGCAAGAGGTTTGAGGTGATCACCAAACGTGGCAATCCATGATCCCTCTGCATGCTGGCACAGACCTTGTCATGTGCTCATATTGACATTGGCTGCAGACCCCAAGGCTTGGCATGGAGCAGGTAGCAGGTTTAGAACAAACAAAAGGAATATTTCTTCACACAACGCGCAGTCAACCAAAGGAACTCTTTGCCAGAGGATGTTGTGAAGGCCAAGACTATGTAACAAGAAAAGAAGTACTTGTGGCACCTTAGAGACTAACAAATTTTGAACTATAGGGTACAGATGTGGGGACCGCATGAAAGACCCCCTAAGCTTATTCTTACCAGCTTAGGTTAAAAACTTCCCCAAGGTACAAACTTTGCCTTGTCCTTGAACAGTATGCTGCCACCACCAAGCGTTTTAAACAAAGAACAGGGAAAGAGCCCACTTGGAGACGTCTTTCCCCAAAATATCCCCCTCCCCCAAGCCCTACACACCCCCTTTCCTGGGGAGGCTTGAAAATAATACCCTCACCAATTTGTCTCGGGCTGCCCCTTCTGCTATTCGCTCCAACTGCTACTCGTTTTTTTTCTTTTCTGCCACCTCCACCCATTTGGCTCCAACCTCTCCCGTCTCGATTACAGTTTTGGGCTTCCCATCTAGGATGTACCTTTCTATTTCCTCAGGAACACCCTGCATGCATCCGATGAAGTGAGCTGTAGCTCACGAAAACTTATGCTCAAATAAATTTGTTAGTCTCTAAGGTGCCACAAGTCCTCCTTTTATTTTTGCGGATACAGACAAACACGGCTGCTACTCTGAAACCTGTCAAGACTATAACAGTGTTCAAAGAAGAACTAGTTAAATTCATGGAGGACAGGTCCATCAATGGCTATAAGCCAGGGATGGTGTTCCTAGCCTCTGTCTGCCAGAAGCTGGCAATGGGCGACAGGGGATGGATCACTTGATGATGACCTGTTCTGTTTATTCCCTCTGGGGCACCAGTCTTTGACCACTGTTGGAAGACAAGACACTGGGCTAAATGGACCTTTGGTCTGACCCAGTATGACCATTCTTATGTTCTTATGAATGTCTGGCCCAGACTGTGCCTACTGAGGTACTGCAGCCATTGAGCTCCTCCTCTCTTCCAGGTGGTCACCCAGACCAGAGGGGCCACAGTACCCAGCCTGGGGCAGAGCAGCTCCCCCCATATTTCTCAGCATGCGGGGCCCCGGCTCTCCCAAGAGGATGGGTTCCCTCACTGTCATGGGCTCCGGGGCAGGGCGCTGCACGGGGAGGTGAATGATCCCAGGCGGTGAAACAGCAGCGCTAACCAAGCTCCCAATCTGTGTGACTAGCATTGGGCCCAGGGTTCAGATCCTGCCCCACAGCTGGGCACTCACAGCACCCTATGGACAACTGTACCCGTCCTGCCCTCGCCAGGGTCGCCAATGGCCTCCTCCCAGCCAAGGCGGAGTCACCGCAGCCCTGCGCTCTTCTGGGTCTCCCTGCAGCCTTGGATACAGGTGCTGTGATCACCCGTCCTCACCTGCCTGCTGAGACACCGCTGCCCTGTCAGCACCCCGTGCCCTTAGCCAGCGGCTCAGGGCTCTCACTCCCAGTGCCTCCTGCAGGCAGCGATTCCCAAACTCAAGCTCCCGGGTGACTCCTCCTACAGTTCAGTCACCATCTCAGACTCATTTCTCTGTACTCCTCCTCCTCTGCCGAGCCTCCTGCTCCCCCCAGCTCTCTCCTGCCCTGGATGCTTCTTCCACATCATGGTAGCCTGTGGATCAGCGGGCCAGGGAAAGAGCGTCGCTGACATGAACAGAGGAGGCCAGGTGCCTGCAGCAATGCAATGCCATGGAGTGGGGTGTGGCAGGGGAGTGACATCAAATGAGATGAGTAATGAGCCCAAAGAAGGGGTGCTACCAGCCCATGCCCAGATATCAGTTCCCCTTCCCCTCTCTGGAAAGCAGGGTCAGCCCATCTGCCACCATCCTCCGGCCGAACAGCCTGGTACCAGCTTCCCACTCCATCTGAATGAAACCAGCTGGCCAGATGGGGGCAGTCAGACGCCCTGAGCCAGCGGCAAATGGCAACCCCCCAAAGCAATCCCCCACCCTGTTACCTGCAGTCAGGAGCTGGGTCAGGCAGGGGTTGGGCACAGCCATGCGTGGGGGCACAGGGAGTCCCATGGGTCTCTTTGTCTTGGGGCTAGCTGGCTTCACCATTGGCCTGCTGCCCCCAGGCGGCGACTGCTCTTTGGGGGTGGCAAACCTGGGGCCGCTCAGCATCACGGGGGGCAGGGGCTGGGCTCTGGACAGAGCAGGGTATGCTGTTGGCAGAAGGTCCACGCTGTAGCCCAGGCCTGGTGCGTGCTGGGTAGAGGATGGCGTGGAGAGCGAAGAGCCACTAATGGAGCCGGAGTAACGGAATTTGGATCTCGGTGCTGAAGCCGGTGAGTACAGGGGGTCCTGACCCAGCAGGAAGGCGCCTGGGGGGGCTGCTGGGGTGCAGTAGGAAGGGCCGAAGGGCTCCATGCTGAGACTGTTGCTGGGGAGCCCATAATGGAGCGGGGGCTTGTGCTTGAGGTCAGCGCACAGGCCGCTGCAGGGGTCCACGGGCTGCGGGGCTGGCTGGAAATCGGGGCTGAGGAAGGAGCCAGGCAGGCAGAGCTGGGAGGAGCAGTTGCTGCTAGACTGAAAGAGACAGAGGCAGATTACAGAGCATTTGCTCCTGGACTGCTGGATTGGACCAGGACCGAGAGGGGCAGGGATAACAGACTGCACGGGAGATGGGGACAGAGCCCGCTGTGCAGCAGCACGGCAGCCTGGCACCATTGCTCTGGTGAAGAAAACACAGAGGGCAGAGCAATCCCAGGGCCAGAGAGAAGCAGATCAGGACGTGATCCCTGCCTGGAGACCTGCTCACCTGTAGGTGGCCATTGGGTGGGACTGGGGCATCAACGTAGCTGACAGGCAGGGCTCTGGAGGCCATCAGTGGGTTGGTGTGGCTGGCAGGTGGGACACTGCTGCTGCTGTATAGGGTGTCAGCCATGGGCGTGAAGCAGGGCTGCTCTTGGTAGTTCAGATGCATCTGTGAAGGCAGTGGGCGGTGGCCGGTGAAGAGATCTGCAAGGCAAAACAGAGATATGTAGACCCCCACCTCCTGAGGCAGCCCAAGCCCATGCTAGCCAGCCCCATGGGCAGGTACAGGGTTTACCCTTACAGCACAGTCCCAGCCAGAGCACTGGGCCACCCGAGCTGACAGCCTGCCTCCCGCAGCAGCCCACCCTGGTGCAGAGAAAATGTCCCATGAGCCTGAGCAGTTGTGCAAGAATCGACATGGGGAAAATCATTCCTCCCTGCCCCCTGCAGGGCAGCTCACCCCTGCCCCCCAGCCCCTGGCAAGGGACCATTATCCTTCTGTCAGAGACCAGCTCCACACATTTAAAGCCATGCAGGCCTCCAGCCCACCTTAACCCAGCTACAGTATGTACTCCCCAGGCTCCTGCCTGCCAAGGACCAGCCCCCTTCACCTCTCCTGTCTGAGAGTGGCACCCGGTGCTGGGGGGCGGTCTCAGGGGGAGGGGCTGCTTGGCTCACTCTCCCCTTCCCAGCATCATCCCTCCATCAGTCCCCCAAAGTGCCTCCTTCCCAGGCCCCATCAGCCTGGGCTTTGCACCCTTTCCTGGCCCAGGCAGCAGCACAGTGGGGCGGGGTGTTACTATCACACGGGGGGAGCTCTCTGCGGGGATGCTGGGAGCGGGGAAGACACACTCCCTAAAGCAAGAGGCAAGGCTGGCGTGCTGGGCCAGGTCCTGCCAGATACGATCCGGCTTGTGGCAGGACTCCATGCTGAGATCCCAACCAGTCCTGGTTAGCGTGCCTGGCCCAGGTTTGGCAGCACAGTCCAGACACTGCTGGGACTCACAGTCCAGGCCGGTCAGAGACAGCTGCTGCCCCACATGCCCAGACTGGACGAGCAGTGTGCCCACCTGCCCCATGCTCAGACAGGCACAGTGGGCTACGCCGACAGCTGCCTGTGCCCTGGCATTCCAAGCCTCCAATAACCAGGAGTTGTAATACCCGCCCCAGCCACCTTGGGCTTTTCTGCCCAGTGTCCCCACTGGGAGCAAGGACCAGCTGCCCTGCTTCTCACTCACCCCACAGAACTTTCTTTCCCAAATTCAGAAGCAGCCTCGCGTGCCCCCACCCCCACGTGGACAGGCCCATCAGAGGCATTTCAGCGTGTCCTCATGGCTGGGGGAGGCTTATGATGGCAGGGATGGAGGTCTTCCAGAGTAGCCATGGTTTTGCTCACCAATTTTTCTGCCTCTAGCTGAGGTGAAGGGGTGTCAGCATCCCCTGGCTCTCCCTCATGGGTTCTGGGGGATCGGGGCAGTGGGGTGGGGCTAAGGGAGTTCCTAGCTCCCCATGCTCTATGTGGCAGCAGCAATTGTGAAATGCTGGAGTTTCTGGTGCAAAGAGGAAAGAGGCAGCTCTGTGCAGCCCCTACGCCAGGGGCCCAGTCGTGCTGCACACAGGGAGAGGTACACAGGAAAACCCTCCCATGCCGCAGGGGAGCCACCGCCTGCAGCAGGGCAGGACCCTTCTTCCTCTCCCATCCGTCCAGCCATGGCAAGCATGGTCCTCGGGGCGAGGCCAGCCTGCAGCAGGGCTGAGCCCCTCTGGGCTTCATCCTGCACCAGCCTGAGCAGAGCGGGAAGCCCCTGGAGAACAGAAGGGAGATATCACCCAGCTCTGCAGCCCCAGCTCCAGCCTCCAATTCCACGGGCTGGTGGGATCAGCATGTGTGCTGCTGTGTGGGGTGTAACCAGCTCGGACAGCCCTGGGTCCCATGTGTGTCCCCTCCCCCAGCCTTGGGTCCCAGGCATGTCCCCCTCCCCCAGCTCAGCCAACCCTGGGTCCCACATGTGTCATCTCCCCCAGCCCTGAGTCCCACATGTGCCCCTCCTCCAGCCTTGGGTCCCATGTGTGTCCCCTCCACCAGACCTGGGTCCCATGTGTGTCCCCTCCTCTGGCTTTGGGTCCCACATGTGTCCCTTCCCGCAGCTCGGCCAGCCCAGGTCCCTCATGTGCTGGGTGCCATGTTAACTCCTGCATACATTCCCCATCACCCTGGTGAGCTTTATCCCAGTGAGGCTCCTGGCCTAAGAGCGGTGCTGGGGGATAGGGCCCTGCCTAGCATGGCAGTGCCAGGCTAACGCCCCGCCGGCGGTCTGGGGGGAGATTTATTTTCATTGTAGGCTTTGAGTCCCCCATGTCCGTGCTGTAACCTTGCGTGTGGCCTGTGGCTAACCACATCCTGTGGCCTTCCCGAAGCCAGGCCCCGTGACCCTGCTGCGACTCTGCTCTCCCTTCCTGTCCCCATCCCCAAACCCGCTACTTCCGCAGGCTCAGACAGGCACAGCACAAAGTGCTGGGCAGGCATTTTTGGGCCTGCCACCTCCATGCGGGGCATGACCTTCACCCTGTAACCCCCCTTCCCTCTGGGGCAGTGCCTGGTCTGCGGGGCTCCTGGGCTTCTAATGGGCCTGGCTGAGCACCTAGCTCCAGCCACTGATCATGCTAGTGCCTCAAGCCCCTTTGGAAGGGGCCCTGTGCCACACGCTGCCCTCTGGGGCCCTGTTAGGGGCAGATCAGAGGAAGGAGGGCCAGGGTGGAGTTGGCCTGGGTTGTGCACTGTGCAAACCAGTGTGCTGAAGCCATGTGCTCAGGTCTCTGACAGGGGTCGGGGTGCTGCTAGCCCAACAACAGGTTTGCTGGAGAGGAGGCAGCCTCATGCTACGTGTGAAGGCAGGCATGCAAGGGCAGCCAGCTGCCCAAGCGGGGTTGTGCCCAGGCATCTGTACACATGGCACAGGGCCATGTCTGACACAAGCCCTGGCCGTGGGTCTCACTAAGATCAGCCTCTCCGGACAGGAGGGATTTGAGAGGCTTGGGCTCCACCATAGAATCATAGAATCATAGAATATCAGGGTTGGAAGGGACCTCAGGAGGTCATCTAGTCCAACCCCCTGCTCAAAAGCAGGACCCATCCCCAATTAAATCATCCCAGCCAAGGCTTTGTCAAGCCTGACCTTAAAAACTTCTAAGGAAGGAGATTCCACCACCTCCCTAGGCAACGCATTCCAGTGTTTCACCACCCTCCTAGTGAAAAAGTTTTTCCTAATATCCAACCTAAACCTCCCCCACTGCAACTTGAGACCATTACTCCTTGCCCTGTCCTCTTCCACCACTGAGAATAGTCTAGAACCATCCTCTCTGGAACTACCTCTCAGGTAGTTGAAAGCAGCTATCAAATCCCCCCTCATTCTTCTCTTCTGCAGACTAAACAATCCCAGTTCCCTCAGCCTCTACTCATAAGTCATGTGTTCCAGACCCCTAATCATTTTTGTTGCCCTTCGCTGGACACTTTCCAATTTATCCACATCCTTCTTGTAGTGTGGGGCCCAAAACTGGACACAGTACTCCAGATGAGGCCTCACCAATGTCGAATAGAGGGGGATGATCACGTCCCTCGATCTGCTCGCTATGCCCCTACTTATACATCCCAAAATGCCATTGGCCTTCTTGGCAACAAGGGCACACTGCTGACTCATATCCAGCTTCTCGTCCACTGTCACCCCTAGGTCCTTTTCCGCAGAACTGCTGCCTAGCCATTCGGTCCCTAGTCTGTAGCTGTGCATTGGGTTCTTCCATCCTAAGTGCAGGACCCTGCACTTATCCTTATTGAACCTCATCAGATCTCTTTTGGCCCAATCCTCCAATTTGTCTAGGTCCCTCTGGATCCTATCCCTGCCCTCCAGCGTATCTACCACTCCTCCCAGTTTAGTATCATCCGCAAATTTGCTGAGAGTGCAATCCACACCATCCTCCAGATCATTTAGGAAGATATTGAACAAAACCGGCCCCAGGACTGACCCCTGGGGCACTCCACTTGACACCGGCTGCCAACTAGACATGGAGCCATTGATCACTACCCGTTGAGCCCGACAATCTAGCCAACTTTCTACCCACCTTATAGTGCATTCATCCAGCCCATACTTCTTTAACTTGCTGACAAGAATACTACAACCATGACTGTACCTCGGTCCTACAGCCAAGTTGCTGTCCCCCTGGAAGCTGACCGTCTGCCCACCCAGCCTGGCAGAGATTTCCTCAGCCCCTTCACATGTACACCTGCAGCTCTCCAGCACCTGGTGCCCCTGGGCAGGCTGCTGGATATCTGCTGCCTGCTGCCTTCCCGCTTCCCCTTCCACTGCCCCATGAGTGCTGTTTATGCACAGCACTGCCTAGCAAGAACCCTTGGCCAGGAGCCCAACCCCTGACCTTGTGTGGGTGCTGGTCTCCAGGAGCCTGCTGCAGGGTGTTCGCCATCTGCTGGATCCAGGGATGCCACAGGCTCCGTCAAAACCCAAGCCCCAGATCTCAGCACTGCCCTGGCTGGGAAGAGCTGACTGGTTCTCTCTAGGGTTCATCTACACTGCAAGTCCCAGCTCAGGTAGATGTACATGGGCTAGCTCTGATGGAGCTGCCGTGCTGAGAACAGCAGCGTAGCCAGTGCAGGCTGGCTGCCTGATGACAACCCGATCTCAGGTCCCAGGTACCACACACTGGCTAGCCGCACTGCTGCTGCTACTCTGCTAGTCGTCTCATGCTAGCTCAGTCAAAGCACCAGTGCACATATGTCTGTCTGAGCTGGGACTTACACCTCCCCCTGCAGCAAAGCCATACCCTAGAGACCAGAGGCACTGTGTCTAGCAGGGAATGCACTAAGGGACGGGGATCCCAGTAGAGCCAGGAGCTTGTTTTGGTACCAGCTACCCTAGGGGAACCCCGGCATTAACCAGTCACAGGCCAACCCCACCACTAACCATCCCACTCAGCCTCATGTCCATTGCAAACTCATCAGGGCAGCAGGGTCCTAGTCTCTACGGCTCAGCTCCCAGCAGCTGGGCAGATAGTTCTGGATGGGACTCCCGGGGCTCTGACATTTCCTCAGGCTGAGGCCATCTGGGGAGTGAGCCCTGTGGTACTGCCTCGGAAGATGCTTCTCTTCTCTACAGAGCTGGTAACCCCAGAGGCCCCACTTTCACTTGTGTAAA